TAGAGCATTGTGAGATTTAGTTTGCCCAGAGTCACAATGCCAGATTTTATCAGAGGCAGAACTTGAACCCAGATTTTCTTGGCTCCTGGGTAAGGGACCCTTCCTAGTTCTCTGTCCACTGTACCATGCTGTCTCTCAATTTGTTTTATGATTGGGGAAATACATGAAATTCAATAACGAATAGATATTCACATTTACATTTTTGAATGCAAGGGAAATGTAATCCTTCCTTTTAACTCATTGATTACTGCTGAAATTTGTAATTTGAAATATAATGAATGGCAGCTTTCGAGACATGCTGTTGTTAGACGTTGCTGCCATCGTGTGGCTAATGCTGGAATCTTCAACTAAAAGGGTAGGACAGGTGTGTGGAAATAGTATATGGGGTCTTCTGTTACCATCCAATGAGAAACTTTTAGGAATTGGTCTTTTACTAATATGTCTTTTCATGATCACGAAATCAAGGATTTAGAGTTGTAATGGGCCTCCCTCAGAAGCCATCTAGTGTACCTCCTCCTGCCCCCATTTTAAAGATGAGGAAATTGGAGCCTGGAGACATTTAGTTCTAGCATTACTTGTAGAGTGAGTAGTCAGGCTGAGATGTGAGCTCTTTGATTCCAAGTCTCGCGTTTTCCTCTCCAAGCGATAAGGTGACAAAGTAGACAGAGTATAGGACTTGGAGTCAGGAATACTTAGGCAGGGATTGTGTTTTGCCTATGCTTAGGGCAGTGCCTGGCAAGTAGAAGGTGTTTAATAAATTCTTATTGACTGAGTTCAAATCCTTCATGGGATGTTTCCAAGCTATACAATCTTGGGCAGGCCATTAAATTCCTAGCCTTAGCTTCTTCACCTGTATGCAAAATGGGGATAACACCACATACCTCACAGGGTCCTGAAAATCAACTGAGATAGTGTGTAAGGCACTCTGCAAACCTCAAAGTGTTCTATAAATGCTAAGAGATTTTGACCTCTATTGATGGGTTCAAAGTCATATATTCAAAATTGGTCTTTGAGATCATATATCATCAGGACTTGAACCCAGGTCTTCCTGCCTTCAGGGTCAGGGACCCTTCTTGAGTCTCTGTCCTCTATACCAAGCTGCTTCTCAATTTATTTTATGATTGGGAAAAGACATGAAATTCAAATATGAATACACATCCCTATATATGTTTTCTAATTTTGTTGTTGAGTCATTTTAGTCATGTCCGATTCTTTGTGACCCCACTTGGAGTTTTCTTGGCAAAGACTAATTTGCCATTTCCTTCTCCAGCTCATTTTATAGATGAGAAAGTTGAGGAAAACAGGGTGAAGTGATTTGCCCAGGGTTACAGAGCTACCATGTGTCTGAGTCCAGATTTAAACTCAGAAAGATGAGTCTTCCTGACTCCAGGCCCAGCACTTTATCTACCATATCACCTAATCCAAAATGTATATCTTATTCTCCATTTGAAGTCCAAGATAGCTCTGGTAGGAGATGGGCAGCGTATTTCATCTTCAGTCCTTTGGACTTGTGATTTATCATCACATTGATCAGAATTCTAAGTTTTTAAAAATAGTATCATCATCTTGTAAATTGTTCTCCTGGTTCTGTTCATTTTGCTCTGCATGATTTCAGAGATCCCAGCTTTCTTTGAAATTTTTCATAATTTCTCATGGCATACATCCACATACCACAATTTGTTTAGCTATTCACCAATAGGTGGGCACTCAGTTTCGTTTTTACCTATTATAAAGAGTTGCTATAAATATTTTTGTACATTTGGATCTTTGATCTGTTTGATGACATATATATATATATATAGTAATAATATAGGAAGGAAGGAAAAAAGGAAGTAAACATTTCTTAAGCACCTACTATGTTTTAGGCACCGTGCTAAGTACTTTATCAATATAACCTCATTTTACCTTCATAACAACCCTGGAAGGTGGGTGCTGTTATTACCCATTTTACAGCTGAAGAAACTGAAGCAGAGGTTAAGTGACTTGCCCTGGGTCACATAACTAGTATGTGCCTGAGGCCAGGTTTGAACTCAGGTCTTCCTGACTCCTGACTAGCAGTCTATCCACTGAGCTACCTTGATGCCCCAACTATAACTGGGTCAAAAGGTAAAGGCTCAGTTTAGTGACCTTTGGGGCATAGTTTCAAAATTCCTACCAGAAAGTACAAGCCTTTTTTTTTTTTTTTTTACAACCTTTTTCTTTCCCTTCTGTTTTTGTTGAAACTCATCCTGCTCTGGTAGGTAAGTCTGATTTCAGTGATTGACTGTGTGTCCTCTGTGCACCTTTCAAAGTACAGAGTATCGGTCACTGGTTGGCAAATTCTTCTGGCCATTGCTGTTCAGTGGTTTTCAGTCATGTCTGACTCTTTGTGATCTCACTAAGGGATTTCTTGGCACTGATACTGGAGTGTTTTGCCATTTTCAGACAAGGTTAATTGATTTTACCACGGTCACATAGCTAGTGAGTGTCTGAGGCCACATTTGAACTCAGGAAGATGAATCTTGCTGATTCCAGGCCTGGTGCTCTATCCACTGTGAGACCTGGCTGCCCCTTCTGCATATACATAATCAAAGACTCAAATAGATCTAATCAATGTGATTCCCTCCAATGTTGCAGATCAAAACCCATCAATGCCTGTGCAAGAAAATTTGCCACAGGTGGTCCATTCAGTGCATGCAAGGTCTGTTTCACTTCCTCCTCTCATCTTTTGATCATGGCAGCTCATTAAATTTTTCAGAGCATTAGGTTGGGTAAGAAAGCATTTTGGTTCTCTAATCAGTGGACCATGGTTCAAATCTCACCTTTGTTGCTCACCACTTGTGTGACTTTGGGCAAGTCACTTTAAGTGGTCTTCCTGGGCCTGTTTTCTCATCTACAAAATGAAAGGACTGGACCAGATAAGCCCTAAAGTTCCTTCTAGCTCCATCTTTGCTGATGGGCCAGACTTGATTGTCTTGAAGAAGCCCTATAACACCACTGGTCTCTAAGGTGCAGCCCTTGCTTGATATAAAGACAACATCTATCTTTGTAGCTTGCTGCTTAATTAAACTCCTTGGCTGTCTCTCTCTGGTTCTGTTCTTTCCTTTTTTCTTTTCCTCTTCTCTTTGCTTTCCAATCAATCAATCAATTATTTATTGAGCAGCTGTTATGGGCCTTAACCCATGCAAAAGAAAAAAAAAATAAACCTCTAAGAAATTCCAGTAAGAAAGTGAAACTATGCTTCGGGAACCATTTCCTTTAGAGCACAGAATCAGCCTTGCTGGTAGGCTTGAATCCAGCCCTTTGCTTGTTTTTTCCTTTCAAATAACTGCACTCTAGGACAGTTAGACTAAAGGAATAATAAGGTGTTGTAAGACATAGGTGGAAGCATTTTAAGAATTTTTTGATTCTTCTAAAAATAAATATAGGTTGCATTGGTCAAAAAGGTTGCTGAGTGGCCAACTATGGGGTTCTCTACCTTTGCTAGGCTTGGTGTTCTTCCAGGACTCTTCTAGCTAGCTTCTGAAAGGTCTTGATTCAAGAAGACCTGAGTGCAAGTCCCGTTTCTCAGTGCACCAGGCAATTAACTCTCTAAGTTGCAGAGTAGCAAGTACCGTTTCTCAGTGCACCAGGCAATTAACTCTCTAAGTTGTAGAGTAGGTAAACTGATAGAGGAATCTTCTTATCTGGAGGTCTCCAACCCAATGAAATTACAGGTCTAGCCTAAACAAAAAATTCATTAGGACTGATGATCAATAAAAGTGACTGTGGAAGTACATGCAGCCATGAAATCACAGATATTTTACAGTACTTGGGTAAAGGTAAAGAGCTTTCAAGCTGAACCCTCCCCAACATTCCCCTCTAAACAACTTTAAGATCCGAATTCTAAAGCAGCATAACCAACAAAAGGTCAGGGTGAGACGTTTTTCCAGCCCACAACAATGTAGGAGATCAGAGGGAGAGATCGGTGACACTGAGGTGGGGGCTGGCCGGGAGAGCACAAGGGCTAAGACCAGATGTGGGTCTTGGAGGAAGTGATGGTGGCATCAGTAGAACTGGGGGCCCAGACTGCTCAGTAAGAGGATTGGACACCTGGGCAGAGATCAACGGAGACTGCTGTGCTAGCACTAGGCACAGGAATGGGCCCCATTTGGCAACTCCATTCTCCACTACTTAGTTTTAGTTTGCAAAAGAATGCTTACAGTTGGGAGCAGAGGCCCTTCCTGGTCAGTACCAGGGCCCAGACCGAAAGTGAGGTGACCATATATTTCTCCAGATCTCATCACTTTGGAAGCACCACAAACTTGCAGACCCCCAGGGCTAGCTCTGAAAATAGCAGCATGAAAAAGCCTGAAACTTGGGACAGTGACTTCCCACCTCTTAGGTAAGCAGAAACCAACTTTAGCACAAAGCTCAAAGTAAAAAAAAAAAAAAAAAAAGACTGGAAAAGATGGGTAAACAAAAAAAAAAGAACCTGATCATTAAAAGCTACTATGGTAACAGTGAAGATCAAGACACAAACTCAGAAGACAACATGAAAATAAATAAAAGCAAAACCTTGAAGAAAAATGCAGATTGGACACAAGCCCAACAAGAATCCCTGGAAGAGCTAAAGAAAGAGAAAAGATTTAAAAAATCAAATAAGCACACTTACAGAGAGAACTTACTAGTATGCTTAAGAATTAGTGATCTCATTCAACGCCCTTATTTTACAGATGACAAAATGAAGGGCCAGCTGACTGAAGTGAATTACTTAAGGTCACACAGTAAATGGCAGAGCAGGGATTCTAACCTGGGGTCCTATTATTAAAATCCAGTGTTATTTTACTCCAATACAGTAAGATCTGAATACATGAAAGGGAATGGTAACCAATTTGCTATCATATTAGGAAAAAGAAAACAAAATATCCAACAAAAATAAACACCCACTAACAAACCACTTCTTACTTCAAAAATTTTTTATTGCTATTTCACAAAGTTTAATATTTTTCTAGAAGAATTAAAAAAAAATCAGTGTGCTTGTAGTAAATAAAATTATATGCAGTTATAGAGAACATAGCTAAGGAGAAGGAAGGAAAGGGAGAAATGATAGGAAGAAAGCTACAAGCAGCAATAACATTAATAACTACAGAAAACTAGCAGTGCAATAATATAAACAGCAAGCAGCTTTACATGGAGGAAAAAAAATACAGCTTTTTTAAATACAGAAATAGCACCTTTTTAAAAAGAACTTGAGAAATGTAAACTTGGTTGGTAGATTCAAGTATATAAGTTATGTCCCCAACACTTGTACCAGGATGGAAGGGTTTCACAAACCCTGGGCCATGTGTGCACCTTCCTCAGTGCAAATACAAAGACTGCATTGTCCTAGCAGCATTGCTGACATTTTTTTTCCTTTTACATTATACAGTGTTAGAGTCTAGATTGCCATTGCTTCTTTACTACTAAAAAAAAAAATCTCCCCCAAATTGAGTTCAGCAGCTCAAGTACTGAAAGGTATTCTGTTGGAGGCACTGTCCCCAAAAGTAATGATCTTTGTGGTCTCTTTTTATCAAGGCCACACCTTTAGAAGTGGATGTTGGATACTTTAGGAACCATGTTCTGGTCTTAGGTCGCCAAGTATGGCTGTCCCATCACCAGTCCTGCAGAAATGAGAGATATGGGATAGGAGGTTCTCGGGATCCCCCAAGATTCCAGGCATCCTTCCTACATGTTGTATCCCTCGTGGTTAGAGGCACACCATACAGGAAAGAGATACAAAGTGAGAGAGTAAAGGAATCAAGAAAAGATATTAAGTGGTGAGTTTTCAGGTACAGTGGGAAGATTGGGGTGGGGGACAGAAAGACAAAACAGTTTTGATATAAAATATAGGCCATCTCAGTGAAAACGTTACGGAGAAAATCTTATACTTGGCCTATGATAAAAAAAAAACTTGTACCCTGTACAGATTTATAGCCTATATATCACATTATCTACCTAATAAGGTCAAATCATTATCTATCTCTATTAGCTCAGGTTCATCTCTATCTTCAATCATTGATAGGACAGGGACTGAACCTGTGATTTCATTGACAGGGAGCTCCTAGGAGGAGGAAATTCCTTCTACCAACGCAGGTTGACACCTCTGTAATTTGCCATTTTAGAGAGTTGTCTGGAGCATGGGGAAATGAAGTGATTCACTCAGGTGTCACACACCTTGGCTCCAAGGTCAGCCCTCTCTTTCTCTCAATCACATGGGTGCTAACTGGTGGCCTCCAATAGTTCATCTCATTTTTCACATAGCAACAAAACTGCTGCTTTCTATTTATTTGTTTAGCTTCTAAGAGTTATTCAGAAGAGCGAATAAAAAAGAAAAAAGAATTATGTAAACTTTAAAAGTGTAGTGTCTATAAAACTTTAAGTAAAAAAAAATGGCATTTTTATTTAATGAAGCTGCCTACCTTGAAGGCTTTAAGATTATTATTACTTTCCTGTTTCATTCAGTAGAATGTAAGTTCTTGAGAAGAAGGATTATTTGATTTTTGCCTCTGTATCTCTAGCACCTAACATAGTGCCTGGCACAGGGCAGGTGCTTAATAAATGCTTGTTGAATTGGATTGGTTAATAAAAAGCTAATCAGACTCCCAGAGTCACTTAAATCAATATTTTAATTCTTTTTTTTTTTTGGATAACATTTTATTGGGACCAGGTTAGGGGATTCTAAATATCCAGGAAAAATAGCAGGGAAAAAAGGATAAATCTATTCTAAAGAGCGAATGAGATAAATGCCAGCACATTTAGAAATCAGCAGTACCCTTCTGGGCATCTTCATACTTGTTACAACAAAGTCATGTGGTTGATCAGAGGGATACAGTAGAAAGGCACTTGGACTACTGTTTATGACAATATATTCAAAACCTGTAAACTAACCATTCTTATTCCTCCCGAATATCAAACAATTCTCGTTTGAGTACTCTTAGATACTTAATTACAATGTACCTATTCTCTCCTTTGCCCCTTGCAAGAATAAAGAAATGAGTCAAAGAAAAGAGTGCTGGTTTTTCCTATACTAATTTATCCATCTTAAGTCATTTTCCTAATTTGGATACCTGGCAAAACATCCCAAGTTTCTTCCCCTCAGACATACTCTACAAGGAGAATTTCTACATTTCTCATTTGAACTCAACAGAAAGTGCTAGAAAGAATTTGCTCCCAATTGTTTCATTAAATTTCACATTGTGAAAAAGAATGTGGTAGTGGTGATGGGGTGTGGGTGGGATGGGATTGGTGGGAGGAGGGAAGGAAACTGAAAGTATGGGATTTGAAAACATAGCACCAAAAACTAACTTTTCACTTGGATACTTGAGCACTAACTATTGTCCCCCTATCTTTCACCTCATTTCTTACCTGCACAAATAATGTTAGTACAATTCATTTACACGACATATATCATAGCATGTTATTCTTCACAGTTATTCTGGTCTTAACTTTTTTTTTTTCACATGTATACATTCATCCATAGGTGATTAGGATTTTTAAGTATAGGGCAAATTACAGAGGAAATAGTATTAACATTCAAGTAGTCATGCCCTGAGAAAATCTGTTTTTCTGTAGTTGTAAACTTCTTTTTTTCTTCCCACTAAGTCCCATTTCAGGAACAAAATAAATACAAAAGTAGAATGTATAGATGATGCTGTCTTTAACCGACAGAGACTCAGAGAGCAGTTAAGTTTTTAATTGCAGAAAGTAATTGGTTTTACCACAGATTTACTCAGGGTAAGTTCAGTCTATGTAAAGTAAGGAATGATTACTCTAGTTAAGTGCTAGACAGCTCACCTTTTCCCAAACCACAAGACTCTGGTAGCTTCTTCAGTCGACTTAAGAGCAAGAAGACGTTGAAACCACAACTGTGAGTCAATGCTTTCACTGCTGTATAGTGTTTGTAACCTCATGGCTGTTAAATGAGCAATTAATAAAAAATTACTTTCAGGAATATGTATGACTTGAAAGGAGGGAGAGTTAACAGGACTAGTGGAAGAGAATGGGAAAAGATACTCTTAAGCTCTGTAGTATAAACAGCCCATTAGGGACTAGCATGCCCCTTATAACAAGTGTTAAGATCCCTGGTGGGTTTCTCCATTCCATGTGGCTACACTACAGTTAATCAGGACTGCCACTGGATATCTGGAGTCTCCTCTGGGCAGAGCTTAAATTTCTTTGACTCCCTTCAATTTTTCTCCAAGTCACAGGTTCTCCAAGGCTGCCAGGAGTTTTGAAGAAGGTCTCGCAGCATGGCGGCCGGATGCTCTTGGGTGTCATTGGGCCTGGTGACTATTTAGAAATGAAAAAAAGAAGTCAAGTCAGATCATAATCATCATGGTGCAACATGACCTATGAATCAGAATGTTAAACCAGTGTCCCTTATAAAACTAAGACGTTTTCTTAATATGAAGCAGCCTTCAAAGCCTCTGGATACTTGCTTGAAGGTTTTGGTCCTAATAATAATAATAACACTAAGAAGAAGAAGAAGAAAAGAAAGCAACCCCTCACCTGCCACTAGAATTAGAATAAATCCAAATAAAGGGATAGCTAGGAAGCTTGCTCCCAGTTTTATTTCTCATACACTTAGGTTGTCTCCTCTTCAACCTTAACTTTTAGGCTGTGTACAGACCCTAAAATCTCCAGGGCAACTTTTACTCTTTAACTGTATTAGTTTGCTTTTGAACATTCCTTGGTTGGTATGACTGAAGATTGGGTTTGGCCCTTTACTGGTGAGAATTAGGAAGAAACAATTCTGAAAAAATTAGGTGCACTGCAAATCTACGTGCATATAAACTGTGAAGAGTTTACAAGGGGCACAAAGGACCAAATAAGCTTTATACTATAATCCCGAAAAAACATGGCCACTTTAAAGAAACAGTGGATTTGGAGTCCTAAGACCCAATTTTGGCCCTGCCATTTACAAGCGTGTGATGAGGCAAGTGACCTCAACCTCAGTTTCCCCATCTATAAAATGAGGATAACATGTGAAGGATCTATGTCATGGTGGTTTTGTAGGTAATGTACCTGAAGCGGTTTTGTTTTTTGTTTTTTTTTTTTTAGGCAATTGGGCTTAAGTGACTTGCCCAGGGTCACACAGCTAGTAAGTGTTAAGTGTTTGGTCTGAGGCTGGATTTGAACTCAGGTCCTCCTGACTTCAGGGCTCTATCTACTGCACCACCTAGCTGCCCCTACCTGAAGCATCTTGCAAACCTTAATGTGACATGTATGTCTGTGTGTGAGAGCTGCAATCATTAAAATTTTCTCAGAAGCACAGAGACTTTTTAAAACTTTTATTTTTTTTTTTTCTAGGCAATAGGGTTAAGCGACTTGCCCAGGGTCACACAGCTAGTGAGTGTTATGTGTCCGAGGCTGGATTTGAACTCTCAGGTCCTCCTGACTCCAGGGCTGGTGCTCTATACACTGCGCCACCTGGCTGCCCCCAAAACTTTTACTTTAAACAAAGTGCCTCCACAATATAATATCTTGGAACCAGTACTTTGTAGTAATGATTGCTCCCATTTGTATAGTGTCTTAAGCTTGGCAAAATGTTTTACATACATCACTTCATTTGTTCCTCACAACAAACCTATAAGGGTAGGCACTGCTGTCATCTCCATTTGACAGATGAGGAAATGAAGGTCCAGAGAGAAGTGACCTGAGAAGGGTCATATAATTCTTAAGCATTGAACCCAAGTCCAGTTTTCTGTCCTTTACTCCATACAATTAGGAGTAAGAGGTATATGGATTGTCCTACCCTGGTTCTTCAAGGCTACAACAGCTGTAACCCAAGTGGGTTAAGTCTAGGGACAGACTTAACTTAATGTCTCCAGTTCAAAGACTGACTTAGCTAGACCTTCATCACTAGAAAGCTGGCCAACAGATAATGCTGTGTTTTGGACATGGTGATCTATGCTACAGATAAACAAATCAACCCTTAGTCGCGGGCCGCTGCCTTCTGCTTTGATCGTGATGGTGGTGCTAGAAAAGAGGAAAGAGGGTAAAAGGTCGAAAAGAGGGCAAAAGGGGCTAAGAATTACACAATTCTGAGACTAGGAATTATTTCATTATTTATTATTATTATTTTAATATTTATTATTTTAAACACTGATACTCTTAATATAGAAGCTTTGTGCAGTGACTAATGAGCTGGCATACTATTGAAGGAATCCTGAAGACCTGGGTTCAAATCCAGGTTCATACATAATATCAACAGAGTTGTTTTGAGGGCCAAATGAGATAATAATTATAAAGTGCTTGGCATAGTGTCTGGCACAGAATAAGTGCTACATACATCTTAGCCATTATCACTGTTACTACAATTGCAGTAATCTCATATCAAGACAAGTGGCAGGGCCAAAATTTGAATCTGGGTCTTAGGACTCCAAATCCACTGCTTCTTTAAAGTGGCCATGTTTTTTCAGGATTATAGTATAAAGCTTATTTGGTCCCCTGTACCTCCTGTAAACTCTACTCAGTTTATATGCACGTAGATTTATAGTATACCCAATATCCATCAAGATAACAGATGCCCAAGTGATAGAATTGCTGTACCCCTGAAATACTTGAAACAATCCACCAGAAGGCCTCTGCCCCACAAAGTGACTCTCCTGTGCATGATTTAGATTCTGAGAAAGATGCGCATGAGAATTATATGAGGAGAGAACCTGCGAAAGACTTGGGATCTACATTGGTGAGGCAGTAGATGCACAAAGGGTGTTGGACTTTGGAATCAGAGAACGTGGGTTCAGATCTAGGCTTTGTCCTTTACTACCTGTATGACCTTGAACAGCCTGCTTCATCTTTCCGGGCCTCAGTTCCCTCTTCTATAAAACGAAGGGGCTGGACAAGATAATCCTTATGTCCCTTCTGTCTCTAAAGCTACAATCCTATGAATAGCAACATATAAAGTATATAAAAGCCAGAGAGGTAAGCTACATGTGGAGGAGGGAGAGGGGAGCATGTATTAGATAAGCAGCTGTACTTGGATTTAGGAAAACCTAGGTTCAAATCTTATTCTCAAGAGACTCACTTGCTGTACGACCATGGACAAATAATTCAACCTCTCTAGGCTTCAGTTTATCTATCTGTAAAATAAAGGTATTGGTCTTGAGGACCTCATGGTTCTAAATCTATAATTCTATACACAACATTTGTTGGCGTGGCTGAGCCCAGCCCAATTCCTGACAACCGCCCTCCAGAAGGTCCACAGGAAGATAACACTATTTCCCCTCATCTCTGAATCTCAGAAAACAATAGCCTTTCTGTAATTAAAACTGTTAATTGTTATTTAGTATAAAAGTATTATTAGGACTCACCTGGGGTAGTTTCATAATTGTTACCAGGTGACCCATGCAAATAGGGGAATCAGGCGTGATTGTATTACGGGACCTGGATGCCCCAGGGCTTAGGTTAACTGGAGACTGGCCTGGATGTTGTGGTTCCGTGGATGGGACTTTTGATGTCTTTGGATTAACCATGTTGGTGCCAACAAGGAGCTGACTTGATGATCTGAGGCCTGGTAAGCCAAAATTCACTGGGCCAGAAGAAGGCACTGGACTGTTGATTGCCGGAGAATAGAAAAAAGGCACTGGGGCCAGGGCTGTAGACGGCACAACCATGCATGGAACATGGAGAGAAGTCAACTGACTTGGAGATGGTCCAACAGCATTGGCAGCCTGGTGGGCAGGCAGCAGGAAATTAAAACCATTTAATCCTAAAACGACACAGGAGAATTAGTGCTACTTAGTATTCAGAAAGGCACGATGAGGCACGCTAAAGGAGAACAGGAGGAAGGGATTCCACCAAGGAGAGATGTCATAGGAAGGAAAGTTGGGCTGATTACAGGTCAAAGGCAAGGACAGACAGGCAGCCAGGATTCTCAACTTATACTTCTTTGTGATTTTAGGAGAACCTGAGGAAGGCTTCCAGCACTTTGCGTAGACCCCTTGTAGTGAACTTATGGGAGAATGTGGATAAGATCTGCATAAAATGGGCAGAAATCTGCATTGTTGGCATGAAGTCCCAAGTTGGTAACACCACAGATGTATCTAGAGGCAGCTCGGTGGCTTAGTGGATAGAGTGCTGTACCTGGAGTCAGAAAGACTTGAGTTCAAATCTGGTCTTAGACAATTACTAGCTCTGTGGCCCTAGGCAAGTCACTTAGCTTCTTTGTGCCTCAGTCTCCTCAACTATAAAATGTGGATAATAATAGCACCAAAGGTGTTGTGAGAATTAGATGATATAATACAAGTAAAGCCTTTAACACAGTACCTGGCACAAAGTAGGTGCTCAATAAATGCTTCCTTCTTTCCTCCCTCCCTATTTGAGCATCCCATATCAAAACAGACTTGCATTCCAATTTCTTACTAGCAGTGTGATCTTAGCTGTCTCTTTACATTTTAAGACTCACTTTCCTTATTTCTAAACAAATAAACAAAAAAAACCTCACCAAACCCCCAAAAGACTTATGGTGGGAGGGCATTTGACTGATGGCCTATAAGGTCCCTTGCTGATCTGCATCTATGATCCTAAACTCATGTCCTTTTTAGCTCTTAGGGATGGGAAATTCAATATAAATGAACTAGTGAAGAATTTCTAAGTAAAAACAATGTTAGCAAATACTACAGATCTCTGCCCCAGTCGTACTTTGATAGATTATAGAAGCATAGAGGTGAATCTCAGTTCCTGGGGGCTATGTCAATGAAATAAAAGGTCTTATCAAGCTGGAAGGGCTTTGAGAATAGGCTTGACAAGGACCATCTGCTTATGCTCAGTACAGGAGCAGAGATGATTAAAAAAGGAAAATGGACAATTGCTGGAGGGGCTGTGGGAAGACAGGCACACAAATGCACTGCTGGTGTAGCTGTGAAGTGGTACCACCATTATGGAAAGCAACAACAATAACAGCTGCATTAGGCAGCATGTTGCTTACAAAGCGCTGAAGAAATGTAATTTGATCCTCACAACAACCCCTGGGAGGTAGGTGCTATTATTATTCCTATTTTATAGATGAGGAAACTGAGTCAGACAGAGGTTAAAGTGATTTCCCCAGGGTCACATAGCTTGTGAGGCCAGATCTGAACTCAGGTCTTTGTGACTATAGGTCCAGTACTTTATCCACTGGGCCACCTAGTTGCTTCTAAGTAGAATTCAGCAAGAATGTGTGTCTGACATCCAAAGGAACAGCCCAGACAAATTTGGAGACAGTCATCCCTGAGTTGAAACCTGAATCCAACAATATGTTGTTTATAAGAGATACACTTGAAACAGAAAGACACACACACACACACACACACACACACACACACACACACACACACAGAGTTAAAATAAAGGGCTGGAGCAGAATTTATTATGCTTCAGTGGAAGTAAAAAAGTTAGGGATAGCAATCATGATCTCAGACAAAGCAAAACCAAAAACAGACCTAATTAAAAGGGATAATCAGGGAAACTACATTTTGCTAAAAGATCCGTAGACAATGAAGTAATGTAAAAAAATTTTTACAGCAAGTTTCTCTGATAAAGACCTCATTTCTCAACTACATAATGAGTATAAAACTAAGTCAAATTTATAAAATAAGAGCCATTCCCCAAATTGATAAATGGACAAAAGGATATGAACAGGCAGTCTTCAGAAGAAAAAATTAAAACTATTGATAGTCATATGAAAAATACTCTAAATCACTATTGATAAAGAAAGGCAAATTAAAACAACTCTGAGGTACCACCTCACACCTATCAAAAATGACAAATGCTGGAGGGGATGACGGAAAAATAGGTACACTAATGAACTATCGGTGGAGCAGTGAACTGGTCCAACTATTCTGGAGAACAAGCTGGAATTGGGCCCAAAAGTCTATAAAATCATTAATACCCTTTGACCCAGCAATACTACTACTACTAGGTCTGTATCCAAAAGGAAAAGGAACTATATGTACAAAAATATTTATAGCAACAATTTTTGTGGTGGCTAAGAATTGGAATTGGGCAGCGAGGAGGTACAGTGGATAGAGAACTGGGCCTAGAGTCAGGAAGACTTGAGTTCAAATCTGGTCTCAGACACTAACTGTGTGATCCTAGGCAAGTTACTTAATCCTGTTTGCCTCAGTTTCCTTACCCATAAAATGAGCTGGAGAAGGAAACAGCAAACCACTCCAGTACCTCTGCCAAGAAAACCCCAAATGGGATCACCAAGAGTTGGATGTGAATGAACAAGAACAAAGAACTGGAAATCGAGGGGATGCTTTTCAATTGGGGAATGGCTGAACAAATTGTGGCATATGATTATGACGGGAGAACTAGTGTGCTGTGGGAAATGATGAGGGGGATAATTTCAGAAAAATATGGCAAGACCTATACAAAATGATGCAAAGTGAGAAGAACTGAGACATCATTGTGCACAGTGATAGAAATGCTCTAATGAGAAAGACCAGGCTTACTCTGATCAATACAATGATCCACGACAATTCCAAAGGACTCATGATGAAAAAATGTTATCTGCCTCCAGAGAGAACTGATGAACTGTGTGAGTGCAAACTGAAGCATACTTTTCTCACTTTATTCTTCCTGCTTTTTTTGGAAATGTGGCTAATAAGGAAATGTTTTGCATGATTTCACATGTATAATTGATATCATATTGCTTGCCTTCTCAATGGATGGGGGAGGAGATGAAGGAGAGGATTTGGAAATCAAAATTTAAAAAGAATGTTAATAATAAGCAATAAATTAAAAAAATTAAAGGATCATGCACCAAGGCTAAGAGAGACTACAATCTGGTTTGGTAGAAGAAATGCCAGTAGCAGGCAAATCTCAAACTTTTTTAAAGTCATGAAAAATAACAAACACCTAAGTCACAGATGTGGAAACTAAAGAATGTCAAAGAAATATCTTGGCAACTGGAATAGTTTCATGCTCTTTATTTGTTTGTCTTTCAGAAATGGGTTTCTAGCATTTCTGGGCTTTAATGTTAGCACAGGGTAGCATTAAACTATCTTACCAGGTTGTTTCAAGAATGTGTCCTGGGCCAAGAGGGTCTACCAGGAATCCTAACGATTAGCTAGCATTACTCACCAGAATAATGATCATTGCTAGGATTATCAAGGGTGGAGTACCTTCTTCTGTGAAGTTTGGATTCAGTCGAAGGGCTGCACTTGAGGACCCAGAGGACCACCTGTGGCCTTGAGGCTACAGGTTCCCCCTTCCTGGATTAGCTAATACCAGATTCAGTTAAGCTCCCTACAGAAAAGAACACAGTGCCTGGCACACAATTAGTGCTTAATAAATGCTTGTTAGCTGACTGGATTTTTCACATCTCATCTTACTTATCTGTTCAGTATCTTTGAAGTACAAGCTGCCATTATCTTAATTTTATAGGTAGAGGAAACATGGCCTCAGGAGGTTGTCACACATGATTTGGAGTGAGAAAGAGGCCAAGAGATGATGTGCATCTCGGGCCACAGATTACCCAGTGACTAACAATGCTTGGGTGACACAAATGAAATTTAAAAAAAGAATCAACCCACCAGCTTAAGAGATATGAACATAAGAGACATAAGGTTTCTAGAATGTTTCCCTGTTTCTTACCAGGCGCAGACTGCACATAAAGATATTGTGGCTGAGACGGATCTTTGGTGTTTTCTTCAGAGAGATTTTCTCTTTCTTTTGAAGACTTTTCAATGTCTGCATTTCTCAAAGGATTCTTCCTCTTAGGGGTAGCTAGGCACTGGATTGTAGTTTTTCTTGCTGCCTCCACAGCAAGGGGCATTTCTGGGTACCCCTGAAAAGCTTCTAAGGGCATGGTACCTACACTACCAATACTCCCGGGAGAGGCAACATCGGTAGAGTCTGTGAGTTTCTAAGCAAAACCAAATTGAAGAACAAATACGAAAGTTAAAAAACAAAACAAAACAAAAAACAGCCAGCCTACCTCCATTACTAGGCCTAGCCTTCTCAAAACACAGCATTAAAAGTGAAAACATTTTTGCAGCCATTTGCACTCTGTGCTAACTCAGCTGTGGGTCAACTCAATAGTTTGATTAAGCTGTCCAACACCTAATCAGGCATGATTAGGCACACAGTAAGTGCTTAATAAATGCCTGTTGATTGGATGACACCTAATCCTTGGATGTCACTTTGTAATTTCCAAAATCTTTCCTTCATTTATTATTCTTGGAAAATTTAAAAAAAAAGGTGAATTAGAATTCTCGTTTCAAATACTCATGATCCAATTTCACAGAATCACAGACTAAGAACTCAGATCTACAGATCTCAGTGGCTGCCTATATTAAAACAAACCTCTTCTACAACATGCCTGATTAGGTGTTGGACAGCTTTTTGAAGCCCCTAGCTACCAAGAGGGGCAGTCCAGCCTCTCCTGAGGCGGCCCATGTCATGGGCGGGCTCTCAATATTGGGGTGTCCCCCCCCAAGCCTGCATTGCCTCCTTTGTAACATTCGCCCCTTGTTGCTGGCTCTGCCCAGGTGCACCAGCAGCACAAACTGAATCTCTCTTACAGCTCTCAAGTTCTCCCCAAGTTTTCTCTAAAGGTATTTCTTAAGATATACTCTATGGTAGCCTCTTAAATAGTGGGTCTTTTAGGGAAGGAGTTTTTTTTAAAATAGGCTTTTAAGGAAGTGCATTTAAGCTCCAAATATACCAGGGACATGTAATAACTTAAAGGCAGATACGCCTAATGACTCCTTTCCTCCCCTCTGCTTCCCCTCGCCCCCTTTCTAAGGTAAAGCAGTAGCTTATTCACTTCTTTGGCTGCTAAAAACACTCTGGGTTAATCAGATGCAGACAGGGGCCCCCTCTTTCCTTTACCTTGGGCAACACCAGCGAGAGCGGGCCATCCTCAATCTCTGTGCTCTGTCTCTTAGCAGCTGGCTCCTGAGCTTGCTGAGGCCTGCGCTTGTGAGAGCTCACAAGGGGAAGAGCTGACAGTTCCGTGGAGAAGCAGGAGGTCTGTGCCACGTCGGGAGTATCCCAGCCCTTGTCTGGTTTGGGGTGGCCTTCCTGGAGGCTTCCATATAGCATGAAGAGAGAAGTAGAGGGAACATAGACCAAAGGTTGATTGGGGAGCACGGTGGGCTTCAAGCTCTCTGCTTTGGAGGCTGTGGGAGTGGGTACGAGAGCTACGTGTCCATCGAGACCATTCTGCAGATGAATTGGCGACAGGTCTGCTGGGGCATTAGAGAATACTTGGTGGGATAATGGATGAAAGCAATATTCTGAGTCCTGAGGATGACCTGGGAAAGGAGGAACAGGGTCGAGCTTGCCTGATGAGTGTAACATCTTTTTACTGATACATCCCTGATTCCTGAAATAGAGAAGAAAATGATTATTTTAATGTACATACAGGCTACCTTGAGAATTCTGTGTTCTAGAAGAGTGTAATGACATGGTCATGACATGCCCCCCAATGCATGGTAAATCCAAAAAGAAATTAAATTTTGGACTGCAATTTCTGGGGGGGAATGATAATTTTTCACTTTTGAAAAATAAATTTTATTGATATTTTTTGTTTTGATATCACCTACATTTCCCACTGTAGCCATCATATTCAACACATGTGAATGTGATTTTTTAAAAAAATTGATAACTGTATTTCAATATAATTAGTTTCCTTTGTATTTTATTTTATGCATATAAAAATATGATTCTGGGAAGGGTTCCTTGAGCTTCACCAGACTGCCAAATGGGTATAGGACACACAAAAAAGGTTAAGAACTCCTGAAAAGTAATCTAAAATGAAGAAAAAGAGGAAGAAAAAACTTTATAAAACTAATCAACAAATCTAAAAGTTGATTTTATATGCAATATTCCACACACACAATTCCTCATCTCTGCAAAGAGAGGTGTCTTCAGTGATTTATCTTGAAGTTTTGCTCAGGCTAATATTAAAAGCAGGCAGCTAGGTGGAGCAGTGGCTAGAGGCCTAGAGTCAGAAGACTCAACCTCCTGAGTTCAAATTTGAACTAGCTGTGTGACCACGGGCAAGTCATTTTGTCCTGTTGCCTTGGTTTCCTCATCTGTAAAATGGGCTAGAGAAGGTAATGGCAAACCACTCCAGTATCTTTGCTAAGAAAACCCCAAAAGGGGTCACAAAGAGTGACACAGCTGAAAACGACTGAACAACAACAATATTCAATGTGGGAGGGAGCGTGGTGTAATGGATATAGAGCTCGCCTGGGAGTCGAGAAGACCCGAGTTCAAGTCCTGCCTTTGATACATTATGGCTGTGTGACCCTGAATGATGTAACACCATCTTTCAGTGCCCCAGCTTTCCAAGACCATAAATTGCTCTGCATGTGCTCGTCCAAATCAGAGGGAGTTCCTCATTAGGACCAGTGAAATCAAAGGTCTACTAATAAAAAAATTAAAATCACTCTGCCAATACCCAGGACATGTTGTTGCTGTTTGTCCTTGGTTCTCGAAGAGGACCATGGCATCGGGAAGGTGATGCCGTGGCTTTCAAGTGAATTGGATTTCAGTGAGGGAGGGCTGTGCAAGGTCACCAGCCTCACTTTCTCCTGTGGAGCCATCTCACCAAAAACTAAGGGCAGAGAAAATGGCCCAGATGTGAGCTGGCATGCTGGAACTCCTGCTAGATTTGGGATCTGGGGATCTGGGTTTGAATTCTGGCTTTGCTGCTTTGTGACTGTGGGTGAGTTTACTTAATTTCTCTGAGTCTGATTCTTCACATGTACAGTGGGGAGCTTTGGACTAGGTGACCGCCAAATCTATGATCTCGTGGGCTGGGTTCAGAAAGCTCGTCCGTACCAAAATGACAACTGGCATTTACAGAGTGATCTGAAGTTTTCAAAGTGTTTTGAAAACAGTATCTCACTTGAACCTCCCAACCCCTTTGGGAGGTAGGTATTACCAGTTCCACTTTACACATGAGGACACTGAGGGTCAAAACCATTTAATGGCTCGCTGATGGTCAGAGAGCTATTCATTGCCAGAGTCAGAATTTGAATTCGTCTTTCTGATAAAATACATTCTCAAGGCTACTTACTGTGAATCTTCATCTATCTTCTGCCTGCAGGCAGCTGCCAGGTTGACTATTTTCGAGCAATATTCATCTGAACCTGCAAAGCAAAGTGGGAGGCTTATTATCAAGGACTGAAAGAGGCTTCTTACACAACACCGCTGAGACACAACAAAAATCCACATTCACCACTAAACGATTATAGTCCAAAATTGTATCACAGGAGCATAATGGCCCTAGAGCTGGAAGAGATGGGGTCAGAGGCCATAAAGACCACCCCCACCTTGATGGTAGGTGGCTGCGCATTTGCTCTCCACTGGTACAACTATTAAGAACCTGCCGTCACTTTCAAGTCAAATAAAGTGGCAGAAAAAGTCTTTAGCAGCAGAAGAAAGTGATTGCTGTTATTACTATCGACCAGATTTTATATCAATCAACATTATGAAGTACCTACTAAGTGCCAGACACTGTACTTAGCGTGGCTCTCCCTAATTACCTCGCTCTCCTCGGTGAGGGCTGCTGGGTTCTGAGCTCACTTTCCTTTTGATCCCGTCTGAAGTGGGAATCACGTTGAAGGAGCTATGGCGGGCCAGTCTTTGCTTCACACAGGGCTGAAAAGGGGAGCGTGGCTCTGTTTTCAGTTCTGGCAGAGCAGATGTTGAAACACCTACGAGTTGTTCACCTGCATAAAGGAATTAATTTAGAACGTTGTTATCATGACGAGATTCACTGCAATTAGAGCAACAAGGCTGGAGTCGGAACAAAAGCATGAATCAAAAAATAGGATAAATCCAGGAATTTGCTGACCATTGAGATAAACTCGTATGTGTGTGTGTACACACACATGCATACATGTTTGTATGTATATGTGCATATATTATACGTGTGCATACACACAGAGATATTAACCCTTATCCTAATCATGAATCCCTTCTACATTATTCCTGACTAACAGCTGCCCAGCCTCTGCTTAACAACTCAGACTGATGGGGAACTTGCTGTCCCCCAAGGCAGAAAATGACATTTTAAGGCAAGCTCTGCAGTCGGCAGATTTGGTTGTTTAAGTCCCACCCCTGAGGCTCACAACCTGTGTGGGGCCAAATGCTTGATCTCTCTGGGCCTCAGTTTCCTTATATGTAAAATGAGGGAGGCTGAACTGGATGACACCTGAGGGGGAGCAGAACAAGTCTAACAAGTCTAGAACAAGTCTAAAGAACATTTGTTCTTCCACAGGAGAGGTTAAGTAAGACTGGCCTTCTCAATTTAATCACAACCTTATAATTCTGACTCCTGAATTTATCTACAGATGATGTCTAGAAAAATATAAAATAACTATCTCTTGCTAAAACTTTGATGACCCAAATTACAGTATTTGCAAAATATGCATTTCCCTATGCAATTATAAAATGAAAATGATAACACTTTAATTAAAATTTTTGGATACAAAGCATAATGAGAATATGATGATTTGTGCCTTGGAAAAAGGTAAATTTGATAAAGAATGCAATTGTTCTCTTTACAGAACTTTAATTTATCCTTTTGCAGAAAACATAAAAATCAGGGAAGATGCGTTGATGAGGAATTTACATATTATTGCAAATGATTGATGTCCTATAGTTAGACTCTTTTTATATTTAGTTTGCTATGGAACTAAAATAACTGTCTCAGCTTTAACTAAAATACACATATATACTCACATGTACGTGCATGCATGCACATATATGTGTACACACACACACACACACACACACAGAGTTTTGTTCTGAATGGGGGCACTGTGAATAAAGCACTGGATCTGGAATTGGGAAGACCTGAATTCAAATCCAGCCTTAGACACTTACTAGTTTTTGTGATCCTGGGCAAGTAACTTAAGCTCTTAAGCCTTAGATTCCTCATCTGTAAAATGGGGACAAGAAAAGCTCCTACTTCCCAGAGCTGTTATGAGGATCAAATGAGATATTTGTAAAGTGCTTTGCAAATTTTAAAGTTGTATATAAATATTATCAATAATAATGATAAAACAATATTTTTGAAACAATAAAAAAAGAATAAATGGGTATTCACTAAAAATAAAACCAACTATAGGTCTTTCTTAGGTTTGTACAAATGAGGTTTAAGTAAAAAATGGGTAGTTTATATTTCTATCAATATAGTTTTTTCTTTCCTTGTTGGTCAATCTAACTCCTTCCCATCCTTTGAAGTCCAACTCAGACTGCCTTAAAGAACACTCTCTTTGCTGGCCTCCTTATTTCAATCTTCTTCCAACTTGAAAATTACCTCATTAGGACATATTGTTCTTAAAAACTAACTTTATCAGGTAACACTCCTATTCATGAACCTACTATGGCTCCTTACTGCCTACCACATTCATCTCAAACTCCTTGGCTGCCTTTTCAAGGCCTTCTATAACCTGGCTCTATTCGAATCTTATTTCCCATTTTTTTTCTCAACATACATACACCCTGCTTGTTCTTTTCCCCTTCCCTTAAGTAGGGTTCTGTGAACTTGTTTCATTTTTTAAAAAACAGTTTGATATCTGTATTTCATTATAATTGACTTCCTTTGTAATCCTACATATTTTAATTTATGGATTTAAAAACATTATTCAGAGAAAGGGTACATAAGCTTCACTGGTCTGCTAAAGGGAACCAGGATACCCAAAAAGTTAAGATAGATAGATGCTTTAGATAGACGAGTAAACAAACATAATTTAAAAAAAAAAAAAAAAGGCTTGGTTGAGTTTACATTGTTAGCATCAAAATTAGCTGAACTACTAACAAAAGAAAAAGAAAAAACCCAAACCTGCAAATAGTGTGTATTTTTCTGAGCAGAAAAGCTACTGTCTACAATATCAATCATAATGATAGTCAGGCCTTGAGCCCTTACATAACACCAGTCTAAGTTCAAGATTGTGTTCTTATATTTTACAGTGTGGCAAGAAGATGCTATGTAATACCTTTTAAAATTGATTTTCAAAGGAAGTAGTTCCTGCAATGTCAATCTTTTCCATTTTCAGTTATGATACAGCAGTTAATACAATTTTCACCTTATCTAGAAGCTCCTGTTTCTTTTTAACACAAATAAAATACTTTATTCTGCTATTGTAAGATCTGGAATCAGACTTGAAAACAATGTTTCTTTTGCAATTGCTAAGGGTCCAAACATCTGACAAGAACTTAGAACTGAAATCCAAGATTCTGCTGACTGACAGTGCCAGATCTGGGATCTCAGAATTTTATTCCTTCCTTACTTGTTGAGTCTTTTTTGGGGGGGGGGGGGGGCACTTGGGGTTAGGTGACTTGCTTAGGGTCACACAGCTAGTAAGTGTCTGAGGACATTGTTGAGTTTTACTCTGTAGAGTAACAATAAGATAGAAACCCCCTAAGAATGTAAAGGAAAAACAATACTAAGGCATCAGAATCAGCTCAATGCAATGATCAATCCTGACTCCAGAGGGCAGATGATGAAATGAAACAGCTCTTTCCTCTTGGTAGAGAGGTGGTGCACTACTGATACAGAACAAGGCATGCACTGTCAGACCTGGTCAGTGTGTCAGGTAGGCTTGCTTAACTCTACTCTTTTTTTCATAAAAGAGGGTTCAATGGAGAAGCAGCAGGGGTGGCGAATGATACTGGGAAATGACAATGATAGAAATGAACCAATGTAATTGACTCATCTTGACTCCAGAGCACGTATTCTTAATTCTGGGTCTATGAACTTAAAAAAATTTTTTTTTATAATTGCATTTCAACACAATTGGTTTTCTTTATGATCTTATGTATTTTATTTAATGCATTTAAAAACATTATGGCAAAAAGGGGTCTATCAGGCTTCATTCACTACACTGACATAAGGGTCCAGTCCATGACACAAACAGAGTAAACACACCCCTTCTCCTGGAAGAGGGGTGATGGACTACAGGTACAGAATTAGGCATTTACTGTCAGGCATGGTCAAGGAATCAGTCAGAATCAAAAGCATCAATAAAATATTATTTTTTAAAAGAATCTAGTTTCCAAGCTACACTGAAACGTAACAGTTTTGCACGTGATTGGGTGCGAAGAGAGAAGAATCAGTCTTGACAGTTATAAAATACAAGAATCCTGTTTGATTTGGAATAGCAAATAAAACAAGCCTCTAGCCATGCCCCCAACCTACCATTTTCTGTGCTGAAATCCACAGGACCGATCCATTTGAATGCTGGCTTCCGACCTCGCTCTTCGGTCACGTGAACTTTCTTAATGAGCACCAGGCTGGTCAGAACGTTGGCAATGTCATAGAGCCTTCGTACCTTTGCTGAGAGACAAAACCCAGTGATGGTTACTTGGTTAGAGGTCCCCAGGACTGTTGGGTTCAGGGCCTAGGGAAGGTAGGCAGCGAGATGCAGGACTTAAGTACACAGCCACCAGCTTTCTCTGTGTTAAACTGCCTGGGACTCAGTGGACAATATTTGTAATATTTTTTATTCCAATAGCTTCCCACTTCTTCTATGATGCACCCTGGCAGTGGAGAAAGCGGAGGGATAGGAATCAAAGGCAAAAACACCAACCAGGAAAATTAATTCTTTAAAGAAATTGCTGGCAAACAGGAGTTCTAATTTATGGCACTGTCAAAAGCGGGTCCTGTGGTCTCTGAAGGAGGTCACCTGTAGGCTGCTAAGCAGCACCTTTGTAGAGATGGCAGGGACCCCCAAGGTCCCATGAAAGGCTCTCATGGCTTATGGTCACTGAGGTACTGTGATGAGTGGCAATGTGACTTGGATTGTGGCTTCTTCGTCTAAAATGCCTGGAATTTGGATCAGAGGAGAATAGACAGATAGGAGTTGGATGGAATCTCAGAGACCACCTAATCCAATCTCATTTTAGGAAGCTGGGGCTAGGTAGGAAGCGATAGAACCAGGGTTTGAACTCAGGTCACAAGATCATAGGTTTATAGGTCCCAGCACTCCAAGTTCAGCTATGCTTTCCACTGTAACACACGCCGGCCACTGCCTCAGTGAGACAAGGTATTCCTTCAAATTTCCCATGTTTCCAGAAAGAGATTAAAAAACTCAATTGCCAGAGAACATTTCAGGAAGTTATATTCAGCTCAGAGTAGAAAACACACAAAAACTGGGAGGATAAATAAGGCTGTGACAATTTCTTCTTAAGCAGTTGATGGGTTCTAGGAAAAGCTCCATCTAAATAGGAAAGTGATTACACACAGGGAGTAATTCCATTCTCCTTCAAGACAGAAGATAGAGTGAAAGGGATTTTTCTATCACTGTCTGAAAGCATCAGCTACGAGTGCTAGAGATTTTCTTCCTTTGCCTAAGGTGGCTGCAAAGGTACACTAGAAACTAGATGCTATACCAAAGAAAGGAGCTGGGTAAACCAGTCTTAGGGCCTCAGTGAGCTAACTGCTATTGTCTTTACCTGCAGGGTTAAACTAAATCAGCAGGACGGTGCAGTGGGAAGTGCTAAGTCTACAGTCGGAGGACTTGGGTTCTAATGCTGGCTGAGTCACTTACTACCTGTGTAACTGTGGGCAAGGTTTCCTGCCTCTGGGCCAATTTCCTCACCTGTTAAACAATGGATTTGGAGTAAAGGGCCTTCAAGGACCCTTCCAATTCCAAATCTATAACCTGTAACCTATTTCAAATGATCACTCAATCAACAAGTATTTATTAAATGCTTGCTATGTGACAGGCACTGGGGATATAGAGAAAAAACAAAAACGGTTCCTGCCTTCAAGAAGCTTATATTCTAAATAATGAGTACTCTGCAAATTTCATCGTCAAGGTGCCATGACCTAACTAGGTAATGTGTGGCAGCAAGGTAGCATTATGGATATAATGGAGAGAGTACTGGTCTCTATGTTATACAGACCTGAGTTCAAACACTTGCTTGGACATTTCTTGGCTATGGGACTCTGGGCAAGTTACTTAACCTCTCTCCCAGCCTCAGTTTCCTCATCTATAAAATGGGGATTACAATAGCATTCACCTCCCAGGGTTTTTGTAAGGATTAAATGAGATAACATATGTAAAGTACTATGTAAATGATAGTATCACTGTCATCATCATCATTATAATTATTTTAACACAGGTAAAGTGCTACATAAATGATACTATTATTGTCATCACCATCATTATAATAATTACATGTAAAATGCTATGTAAATGATATCATCATCATCATAATTCTAACACATGTAAAATGCTATATAAATAATATTATTGTCATCATCATCTTTACAATAATAACAACAACAATAACAATTAACATTATCCGCTCAAATCCTCACTAGCCTATGCATTCCTGCCAGTGTCCTACATTCCCATCCTTTACAAGACTATGCAGAGGGTGGGAGGAAAAGGAAGAGAACCCAGACACTCAATCTCAGATGCAATGACAACACAGGAACACCGGCGGTCCTCTTGCCCTTACGGACAGATTGGCATTTGCAGCACCAGTTTTGTCTTCCCCTGTGAGGAGAACACTTGCTACCTCCTTCTCTGAGAAGGAGGGCCATAGAAGGGGGAAAGGAGCACAGGATTGGGAAGCTTCACGGTCTTAAACAAGGCATCTATGTAGTGCTTTAAGGTGTATAGAGCACTCTGCATGTGCTACCTCTCTGGATCCTGGCCACAATTCCTCAAGGTAGGCAGGATTATTATCCCCATTTGATAGAAGAGGATGCTGAGTCTCAGAGAAGTTAGGTGACTTTCCCAGGTCACACAGCTAGGACTTCATGATTCTAAGTCCATTCTCTAATCACTGTACCCTCTAACTGTCTCAGTGGCTTCACCTGAACTGCTGGTGGAAAGGGGAGTAGACCCAAGTTCTATTCCTGGTCCTATTTCTTATCATTGTAATTCTTTACTTTTCTGTCTGGGCCTCAGTTTCCTCAACTGTAAAACAAGGGAGTGGAACTAAATGATTTCTCTAATACTGTGAGCTCTCCCCCCCCCATTCAGTTGTCTAAAATCACAATCATCTGCCCTTGCTCAGAAACAGAACAGGAGAAAATTGTATCGAGTTGTTACCTTAGCATCAGCCAGTGTTTATGGTCAGATTCTTACTTTTTTTTTTAATTGTATGAGGCAATCGGGGTTAAGGGATCAGATTCTTACTTTTAAACTTGCTATGATCAGCAACATCCTGGCTCTCTTCAATCAGGATCTTGGCGGCGATGTCTAGGGTGACTATCTTCGTCTTGGAGACAAGGAACAGCATGACAAACTTCTGGCTCATAATTCGCAAAGATTTGTCCTTCCTGCTGTTTGCAGATACTACAAAGAGAAGAGAACACATGAGTCAAGAGGAGCCCCTCATCAGGGCAAAGGCCGCACCAAGTCTTGGGTCAACAGTCCCTACAAGGCAGCCCATTCAAAGGGTACTTCTGAAACTGAACGAGGATCATGCCCTTCAGAGGGTCTGTTTTTGGTCCAGGTCTATGATTTCAATGGAGTAGGGAACGCTTTCTACTAACGTGGACAAGCACCTTTTCTGCAACTTACAGTCCTGAAGGAGTTACCTGGGGCATCACCCAGTCTTAGAGATCTTCTTCTATCTCCTGACAGTGGCAGGATCTTTCCTGACAATTTCCCACTTAAATAGGAATGTGATTACATTGAAAGCCAGGGTCACAGATTTTGACTCCAAGGCCACCTCCGTATCCCTCATACCACGCCACATGGGGATATAATTTGACCTATAGAACGAGGTATGATCATAATTACAAAGAAATTATTTTCTTGGGTAGCTTAAAACTGGTTCTGGGGACAAATACTTGGTCTTTTCAATTAAATAAACATTTATTAAGTGCCTACTTGGTGTCAGGCACTGTGCTAAACCCTGAGGATATAAAGAAGAGAGACAGTCACTGACCTCAAGGAGTATAGAGGCAAATATTTTACTGACATGCATTTCTTTCAAAAACAAAACTCATTTCCCATTACCTTCCATCCTGTTCAATGTCCTTTCATGTGACAAAGAAGTACAGTTTTGTAAAAAAAAAAAAAAAACCCCAACATATTGACCAAGTCTGACCACACACACACCTCATTGTGCACCTGCGGTCCACTCCACCTCTCTCCCAAGAAGGGACTTCGAGAGGCCATCAAATCCCTCCCATCCCCTGAGCCCCCCATTTCATAGATGACTAGGTTGAGACACACAGAGAGAGCTACTGACTTGTCCAGGGTTACATAGCTAGTTCAATTTCTTAATTGCAAGTCCAGGCCCTTAGCCACTCAAGATGGGTGCCTGAATTGTTCTGAACACCAATGCCTTTTGACACTGTTTGTCTTGCAATTATTGTGAGAAGTGTTATATAGTGTCCTCTTGTTTTTGCTGATTTCAGTTTGCATCAACCTCTGTGAGCTGAAGACAGTATCAAAGAGAGTTTCCAAAATGTTTCAAGCAAGGGAAACCATTACTGGAATTAACATGTAACCTTTCAAGTAGTCATCAAAGCAAGGCTATTATAGAAAACAACAAACAAAATGCAAAAGTAGCAAGGCTGTCACTGTGTGTGTGTTGTCAATCTAAATTACTTGCCATAAAAATCAAAGCTCTGGACAAAAACCAAAACCAAACAAACAAACAAACCAAAAAACCACTCCAAAATTAGTAAGAAGAGTGTACTGAAATATTGGTCTAACATCAGAGATGAACCACTAAATCTTGGACGAGTCGCCATGAAAGCTTCAGGAAAGTTCAACTCAATGAATATTTATCATCTACTATAAGCAAAGCATTGTGCTAAGTCACAGATTATTTTCCTTTCTGTCTTCGTATTCCCCAGCACCTAGCACACAGTAAACAGCTTAGGTGGCATGATGGACAGAGTACTGGACTCAAAGGAAGACCTGAATTGAAATCCTACCTCAGATACTCAGTAGCTGTGTGACCCTAGGCAAGTCACTTGACCTCTGTTGCCTCAGTTTCCTTATCTGTAAAAGGGGGATAACAGCAGCACTTGCTCACAGGATTAGTGCCTGGCACATAGTAGGTGCTTAATAAATGTGTATTGAAACAAACTGAGGATTAACGTGAGGATCCAATAAGATAATAGTCGTAAAACGTAAGGTGCCATCTCCTGGATAAATCATCTTAACCTCTCTGGGCTCTCGGCAGCTTTCTAAGTTGAAGAGAAGGTGCCAGCCTGCATTGGCAGGAGGAGTTCCCTCATCTGATAGTTCCCTATACGAGTGAAATCACAGGTCAGTCCTCTGTCCTCTACCCCTATTATTAAGTATGTGATAAATGCCTGTTGGCTTGGATCGGAGAGAATTCTGGGACAGAAAATGGGAATTGGAATGGGAATTAGAAGAAACCTCTAAAGCTGAAGATTTAACGCTGAAACTTTTTGGGGAGCACAGCAAACTCACTAGAGGCATAGTCAGGCTCAGAGAAATCCAATAACTGTTGGTCTTGGGAATCCAGGAAGCCCTCCCTCTTCCGCTCTCCAAATTTATACTCCACTAGGTCGAGCTCCTTTTGGTGAAAGTAGGCCATCTGCTCTTCATATTTCTGTTCTTTTCCTAGTCTCTGGAGGTTCTTCAAGGTTTTCTGGAGGCCGTGCCATCCGTGCCAGCCGTATTGATTTTTGGCCACCCGGCTAACCATATGCAGGGACTCCAACACATTCACGATGTCATAGATGCGTCTCCGTTCTACACCTATTGAAAAAAAACAAAAGCCGCCGTGGCATCAGACCAACACTTCAGAGAGCAAACTCCTGCATGGCGGAGACTTGACCTGTAACAGGTTTTATACAGTTTCTAGTGCAGAATCTAGCAAACAGTGGCTAGATGATCATCTGATAGAAATGTAATCACTTCTCTTCTTTCTTAGGATGATCCTTACTAGAAAGGTGTGGCTAAAATCTAGGCTTAATTCAATGATGGCTCTGGTTTCCTTCAAAGATCAGCTCCTATAGCACTTTCTCCACGAAATCTTTCCCTATCCCCTTCCCCCAATCATCTTGCATCTATTTGGTATGCATGTCTGTATGTATGTATAATATACACACTATATATATATAAAATATATATTACATTTCTATAAAAACACATTTATACACAACGTGTGTGTATGCGAATGAGTGTTTACATATACATGGCATCTCCTTTGGTGAGACTGTAAGCTCTTTGAAGGCAGGCCTATTTCATGCTTGTCTTATCTTTGTCATCTAACACAGTGCTTGGGAAAAAGCAGAACTTCAATAAATACAGGCTAGTTGGTTTTGTCTGTGATGTATAAATGGTAGAAAGAATTTTGCTCAACAAGACTTGGGAAAGTAGTAGAATGTAAGCTCTTTGAAAATAAGGGTTGTTTCATTATTTGTATTTGTGTCCCTGGAACCAAGCACACAGTAGATGCTTAATAAATGTTCAATTGAAGTAGTCTCCAGAAGTTTTAAGGTGAATCAAATTTAAAAGCATTTGGTGACTTATTCCAGATTTACTGAATACATTCTGTATATATTCAATAAGATGTTTATTTTTTGAATGGGAGGAAGGAAAGGGAGAGAACAAGCATTTATTAAGCACTTACTATGTGACAGACTCTGCACGAAATGTTTCACAAATGTTATCTTATTTGATCCAGAAATGTGACATCATCTGTGTGTGGGAACTCTTATGGAAACTCTCTCCACCAATGCATACTGGCCAATCAACTATAATTAGAATCTTAGGGAGTTGCTTGGGGCTATTGAGGGATTAAGTGATTTGCCCACAGTCACAGAGCTAGTCAGAGGCAGGAGTTGAACCTAGATTAAACCTCTACCCATTATGCAACAATGTCTTTCATATCAACTATATTACATTGTAGTTAATCACGTGCATGGCTTACCTTCCTTATTAAACTATAAACTACTGGAGGGCAAGGACCACAAAATTCTTTTTTTTTTTCCCCTTGGCCACAGCATCCTATCACAGTGCCTTGTCCATGGAAGGGACCAAGTAAGTACCCACTGGATTGAAATGCCTAGCTGATTTTATAACGTGTTGCTAAGAATGCCAACTACAAAACAATCTATGTCTAATAACTGAGAGCTGGCCTCTGAGGCAGGACAGGGCCTAATTCCTACTGCATGTGTCAAGTTCACCTTTCAGTATCCCAGGAAATTCTCAAAGACTCTTAAGTTACTAAGTGCAGGTGCTGAACCACATGAGCAGAGGGAGATTCCTATACCTATGAGATCACAGGTCTGGTCTGGACCGAAAAAAAAAAAATCTAAGAATTAATTCTTCAAACATCTCCCTTTCTTGACACTTGGGTCATGCAAATACAGTTTTTAAATCCTTCTAAGATCCCAAATGGAGTAGATAGTTGGTAAATATTTTATATCTTTCAACTTATACACTGGAAGCATTAAAGACTCAAATTTATTAGGTATTTGAGAGTAGAGAGTGCTAGGCTTGAGTCAGAGATCTGGTTTTGAATCCTGCTTCAGACGTTTACTAGGTAGGTGACTCTGGGTAAATCACCTAATTTCTCTGGCCCTCAGTTCCCTCTTATATAAAATAAAAGGGTTGGACTTGATGCCTTCTAAAGCCTCTTCCAGCTCTAAATCCACGATCCTGTCAGTGTCTGCTATGTACAGGCAGGCCCTGCACTTGCCCTCCATGATCTGAATGTAATCTGGGACGCTGAGTCATGAGAACGGGCAAACTCGTCCATTAAGAGACTGGGTAAACTTGTAAACCAGACCTACAGCTGGTCACTGTTACAGATTTTCCAATGTACTATTTCCCTAACCAGAATTGTACTGGGAAAAAAAAAAAAAAAAGGACTTTAACTGTCTAATTCTAAAGCACCCAAAACTTTCTTGTTACTTAGTTAACACCCTCAAACCTTCCTGTTCACTTGACCAAGAAAAATAAAAGCTATTTTAATCAGTTGGATCAACTGATAGAAAGAGATGCCTCACTGATGAAGTCTAGGCCTGGATCAGGCTGGCCCTTGGTAGTTTAGGATAGATATTTGAATGAAATGAGATATGGGTAGGTCATTAAACAGTTAACAAAAGGTTTACCTAGCCATAGTGTAGGAGACTATACAATGATACAACACTTAACTCAGGGACAGATGGCTTCCTTGCCTCCCTAAGGAAACATGAGGTCATGAGGATAGGGTATGGGAATTCTGAAGGCACTGGTACATCTCACAAGTCTGAGGGACCTTGAATTACCATGGATGGGCCTTTTTATGTTTTAAGTGAACAGGAAGACATGTCATCATGGACTGAGCCCACTAGGAAACTGCCAAGAGTCTCTATCTTCAGCCCTTGGGGCCAATCAAATCTTGGGGGGACAGTTTCCTTGGCTCTTGGGAAAGGAATTAACCTAACATACATAGGCGTGTGGGAAGGCACGAGTAGAGTACTGGGGATAACCCTGGCTTATCATCCCATCGCATAGCACTCCTCTTTTTAGCAGGTCTCAGCTCAATAAACGGTCACTGATGTCTACCTACAATCCTGGCTAGCATGAGACACCAATGTAGAAAGAATTCTTCCCAACTGTGAATTGTTAGATTTAGCAACAAGCACCCTCCCCTTTCTGAATTCATTTCCTCCATTTGTTTTAATTACAGGTATCCCCAACAAAAGAATTCTGACATCTCCCAGAAAACCATACTAACTACAGAGTGTCTCCTTCTGCCTGATTGGCTCTCTGCCTAGTTTGTGTAACTAGAGTGGACTAACTGTTGCCCTTCAAAAATTTATCATGGGAGGCACAGTTTTAATCAAACAAATCACGCAACAAAAATGCTGGTTGCTACAAGGTATTTTCGGGTCACATACACTCAAAAGAACTGAGGGTTCAATTCTAAGGTTTTGGTTGATGAACCCAAAGGGAGGTTTTTCTTTCCAAAAGCTGTCATGGTCCACAGTGGAATATCCCTGGCATGAAGGTTGATCAGACCATATGTCCAGGGCAAGTCATTCCAACGTTTTCATATATCCACTTTGAAAATAAGGTTTAGATAGCTGCCAGCTTAGTGCAGGCCCTTATCGCCCCACACCTAGACTATTGTAGTAGTAACTACAATACTCTCCTTCCCTCCCTGAGGGCATGGACTGTATTTGCCCTTTCTTTATATGTCTTGTGCTTGACACACAGTAAGAGCTTAATTAATGCTGCTTGTTGGCTTAGATTAGATTATATACTTTGTTCAAAGGGTACCAAAGAACATAAATGATCTCCACTAGCAAAGTCAAAGAAAAGTATGGTACACAGGGAATGCATACGTTCCATTGTTACATATGTGTTACACAATCAGTGTAAACTCCTAAGTTTGCAGCAAGTGAATAAACACATCAAGCTGGAAAATGAAGACAAGAGTATGGCCACCTGTCAGGGCTATTACAGAAAGAAATCCCACATTAGGTGGGACACTGGTCTAGATAAAAAGTTTTGGAGCTAGAAGGAACCACTGAGTTGAACCTCCCTCATTTTACAAATGAGGAAACTTGAGGCAGAGAGATTAAGCAATTTGCCCAGAGTCAGAAAACTAGTAAGTATGTGAAGCAGGATTTGAACTCAGGTCTTCAAATCCAGTGACCGGTCCTTTATATCTCTGAAGATAAAACACTTAGATGCAGATTTAGGAAACTCAGCTTCTGGGTCCAGCTGCAACTTTGGGAAAGTCACTTCTCAGTTTCTTTATCTATAAAATAGGGGAGTTGGAGATAATTTTGAAGATCACTTTTAGCTCTGATAGACAGAGAGCCCCATTGAGGGTTCTTAACTTGGGGTCTGTGAATTAGTTTTCTTAATATTCCGATAATTTCATTTCAATAGAATTGGTTTCCTTTGTAATCTTACGTAATGTATTTTAGGCATTTAAAAACATTATTCTGAGAAGGGGTCTCCACAGGCTTCAGACTGTCTAAAGGGTCCATGTCACAAAAGGATAAACACCTCAACTTGGAAAATAATACAAGGCTAAAAAAAGGTAATTGCTGTATTATTGTGTGAAGGAAAACCCTGAAATATTTTGTCCACATCTGGCGACCTTACCAAGCAGTACTGTTTTTAACCATTTGCTTGCTATTTTGTGAAAAGTTCAGTTTCGAAGGTCAAATAGCTACCCTTTGCCTTTTGTTCTCGTACCCTCTAGAGGAGCCTGAAGACAGAAAGCTTTTCTCCTGGTAGCCAGGCATTTTCTTTTGGATCCAAGTAATCCTTCTAATCCTGGTCATGACATTAGTTCTGCCATCGAGGATTTGCTCATGTTACCTTCCTCATGCTCCCCTTAGTCACTGATTAAGCTTTTCAAGAACCTCCCTCATCCCAATAGATTGATTACATCTCCTCTTCTGTGTGTGTGTGTGTGTGTGTGTGTGTGTGTGTGTTTTAAACATCAGCCAAAGAGAAATCTTATTCTTTTATTTTCTTACCCATCATTTCCATCTCGAATCCGTTACAGTAAAATCTCAGGAAAATGATGCTCATTCTACTGATTTGGTTTATGGTATCATTAATTTAGATTTTACAGATGAGGAAATTAAATCCTAAAAGTTTTAAGTGATTTGCTCAAGGTCAAACAAGTATTGAGCAGCAGAGCTAGGACTGGAACCCAAATCTAGTTAAAAACTTGGGTCTCCACTTGTATCCTCTATTGCCCATGCTATTACTTCTAATTAATCCTGAAGGCCCCCAGCTGGAATGAGCTTGGAGTCACAAGACCCGGGCTCAAAATCAGACTCTGATACTGGCTGTGTAGCTATGGATGGGTAAGATATTTAACTTCTTCAATGTCCCTGTCTATAAAATAGGTGATATTTGTACTCAGAGGGTTACTGTGAGGAAAGGGGCTTTTGTAATGAGGAAAGCACTACTGAGACATGACTAGTTGATCCCTCAGCCAAACGCTTGGTTGACGTTGAAGTAGCTCCTAGAACAGTCCCAGCACCCCACCTCGTCACCCCTACACTGTCTGTACATTGGGGACAGCACTCGAGCAGACTGGGGCTTCCTGGCCCACCTGGCTTCCCCTGCTTTGAGGCCCTTCTGTCAGCCGTGACAACCTTGTCGAGCTGGAAAGAGGTGTCATCTGTCTTCCAGCATCTGTTTCAATTGTACCAGCAGCTTTGGAGCCAGGTCTAATGGTAATGAGTTGTTGATCAGCTCTTTTCCTTCCCCACAACTGGAACTCAGCAAAGGACAGACTGGGACAGGCAGTGGCAGGAATCTGCAATGGGTCCCACTGGCCCCATTGTAGGAGTGTCTCCCTGCATTTTTTTTCCCTCAACGGGACATAGAGTCATTTAACCTCTGGGCTTAGGTGACCTAGATGGCTAAGGTTCGTTTTAGCTTTAGAAATACAAGAACTTTCCTTTCTCAAACCCTGCCCCCGATGCACCATTATGTTTCCAGTCTTGACAAAGGTCCATTCTTAAACCCAGTTACTGGCACCATCTTGCTTTCCCCTGCTGCCTAGTTCTGGGAAATGTCACCAACAGAGCCTAAAATTAATTGTCCCACATTGTCCTTACCCAGTAGTTTCTGCAATCCAGAAGCAGCATGGATTATCCTAGAAAAACTGGATCAACTTGAACAACAGCAACCAGGAAAAGGCGGCAAGACCCTCAAAGCTGATCTCAGGGATCACGTCCTACAGGAAACCTTTCCTATTTTCTAGTTGTCAGTAGTCTCCCTACTCCACCAACCTGAAGCTACTTTATTTCATATTTATTTATCTATGTTCATGTTATTTCCCTCCCACAGAGTACAAGCTCCTCGCGGGCAGGGACAACTTCATTTTTCGTCTTTGCCAAGCATAGAGTAGGCGACTAATTAATGCTTGTTGAAATTAAATTCAATTGGAAATACAATTTACAGCACAAGAACTGATAAAGGTTGCTAAATCTTGGAAGGCCTGGTCAGCAGGTTGCAAGGTTTATGGCTTCACTGACTAGATATGAAAGGTTTGTTTAGCTGATTTTTAAAGAACTCTTTTCTTCTCTGGTCTGTAGGTTTAATAGTCAGTACTGCTACAGGGAACACACAAACTCATTTTCTAGCCACTGCTATTACAGTTTAACATTTATTGCACGTCTGCAGTATGTTGGTGCTATGAAGACCCTATGATAGTACATGTCCACCAGGGGTCTCTATTTTAAAGCAGCAAGACCCATATATACTGTGCTTACATTATGCATACAGGTCCCACAGAAAGAACAGAGTCATTCGTTTTTCTCCTTTTGAATTTGAAATATTCCCCCCCACCTCACCCCCTCCCCCCGCCTTTCTAGTTTGTTACACTTGCTTTGGGAATTACAGGAAGAGTTTCAGACATAACATCCTCACTTCCCAAGCACCTGTGTGTATACCTTCCTCCCTTCCCCACCCCCTTTTTGATTCTCTTTTAAGTGCTGCCTTTCTCTTTTAGAGTATAAGGACCTCGAGGACAAGAATTCTTTTCTTTTTTGCTCATATTTTTAGCCCCAACACAGTACCTGGCATATGTTAAGTGCTTAATCAATGCTTGTTGCCTGCCTTAAAAGGAAAATAAAACCAACTTTGTGTCATGGGAGGGATGAGAAACAACAGATAAGAGAGAGCTCATGAGTCTTTCTCTCCAAAGTTTAAAGCAAAAAGGTGTTTCTGAAATGTGAGTCTTTCAGTGATGTAATGGGAAGAGCACAGGGTTTTGAATTAAGAGGATCTGGGTTCAAACCCTAGTGACCCTGCTCTTTTACCACCTATGTAACTTTGGGTAAGTCATTTAGCTGAGGTATAGTGGAAAGGATGAACTCTGACTCTGAAGTCAGAGGTCCTGAGTTCATATCCTTCCTTGGACACTAAGTGACCTTGGGTAAGTCACTGGGCTTCAGTTTTCATCTGTTAAGTGAGGGGATGGTTGGATTAGATGGCTTCTGATATTCCTTCCATCTCTAAATCTGTTTTTTCAACCTCTCTGGGCCTCAGTAAGTTTTGTTACCTGTAAAATGAGAAGGTTGGACAAGCTGATCTCTAAGCTTCCTTTCCAGCTCTAACTCCTAATGTTATTTCTAAAGCCCCTGCCTCATAATAGGTCTGTAAGCAGGTAGTATGGCATCCTTATTTTAAATATGGGGAAACTATGCCCTAGAGAGGTAAAACCAACTTATTCATGGCCAGACACTTAATAGTTGGAGCCAGAACTTGATCTCTAAGTTCTCAGGATCACAGACTTCAGATCCGGCAGAGTTCTTAGAGGCCCTCTAGTCTGAAGCTCATTTTACAGATGAAGAAACTGAGGCTCAGACAAGGATGGGCCTCTGCACACTTTCTATGATCTGAAGCTCAGCCCCGCCACACTCACTTCTAATACAGCTCAGCTCCTGATGTTCTGGACTTTTACACCCTATACAGGTACCTTCCTTACCTCTTTCCCTCCCTTTAGCTCCCTTTTATGTATTATGTTCCCCAAGAATGAAGCTCCTTGAAGGTAGGCACAGGGACTGTCTTTCTATTAAATTAGTATCCCCAGTGCTTAGCTCATATAAGTGTTTAACATTTATATTTTATATATGTTTAATCTAACCTTTCTACTTGAAATACTATAGTTACTATTGTTATCAAAGTTAAAAAAGAAAAAACTGACCTTCAGATTTCAAAGATGTGAAAAGCACATGTGTATAAAAGAACTGTAGTTAACAATGGTGGCCTCCTTCCACTTCAATAGTCAATAAACATTTATTAAACATCTACTGTGTGCCAGGCACTGTGCTAGGGGCTCTTCCAAGACAGCACTCCCCCCAAAAGACTCTCTCTTTCCATAATTAAAGAGATGCGACACAAAACTTGGTGGCAGTAGGAGAAAAGCCTATCTCCATGTATCACATTCATTATTTGCAATCTTTGAAGAGGTCTCAGTTTAAACGGACCCCATTTTTCTCTCCAGCTTCCCAAACACTCTCTAGTCCAGAGCATACCTACCCAGACTGGCGGCCACTTCATCCAGGGATATTGTCGTTTTCTCCGTGGATAAGGGGTAACTAGGATAGCGAGCCAGAAACTTTTGGCACAAGAGTCCTAAACTCTTCTGCTTTCTGCTTGTTCGATGCTTTTCAAATTCATTCACAGGGCCATCCCCAATAGCATCAAGCTACCGTGGGTGTGAGGGGAGGAGAGAAAAAAAAACAATCCATTAACATGTCAGAAGTGGAACCTTAAGGGGTAATAGGAATCTACAAGGAACAAAGAAAATCAGAAAGTTTTCCAGCTAACGCAGTTTTCTTTTTCTAATCTTTTTTGACTTATGCTTATTATCTTTTCTGGACTGGACTTGTGATTTCATTGGTATGGACAACTCCTAATGAGAAAACTCCTTCTATGCAGACCTGAAACATAAGAGTCTTGGAAAGTAGGGATCCAAGCCATTAAAAGTTAAGGGTCACACAGCCAGCAAGTGCCAGAGGGGAAGGGAATAATAAGCATTTATGTGGCATATATACATAATTCTATATATTAATTCTCTCTTTCTCTATGCTTATTATATACTTATATATAATGCCTACTATGGGCCAGGCACTGTGCTAAACACCTTTACAAATATTACCGCATTTGATCCTCAAAACAACCCTGTAATTAGACCCATTTTATCAGCAAACAGGTTAAGTGACCTGCCCAGGGTAACAACCAGCAAATGTCAGAGAGGAAGAGAATAAACATTTATATAGCACCTATTATGTGCTAGGCACTGTGCTAAGTACTTTTACAAATATTTTATCTCACCTGATCCTGCAAGGATCATAACAACCCTGCAAGGTAGGTGCTTTCATTATCCTCATTTTACAGTTGAAAAGATGTTAAAGTAACTTGCCCAGGGTAACAACACAGTCAGCAGATATCAGAGAGGAAGGTAAAGAAATAAGTATTTATACAATGCTTTTTGTGTGCCAGGTATTGTTTTAAGTACTTTTACAAATAATATCTCATTTGACCCTTACAAAAACCCTGGGAAGCAGGTGCTGCTGTTACCCTCTCCATTGTACAGATGAGGTTACTGAGGCAAACAGTAGTTAAGTGACTTGCCCAGGGTCACACAGCTAGCAAGTGTCTGAAGCGGGACTTGACCTCAGGTCTTTCTGACTTCATGCCAGCTCTCTATCCACTAGGACACACTGCCCTTTGACCCCTATCTTAAGCAAATTAAAATGATCCTCCTTTGCATTGTGAGGCTGAGTGAGCTAACACAGCTGGCTTTTTTTTTTTTTAAAAGAACAACTTTAATCAACTAATAGGTGGTTTAGCCTGTGTGATGTCTGGACTAGTTTGCCCGATTTCCAAGCTCAGGTTTCTTCCCTCCCTATGACCCAAATTCTGGCAAGTCAGCTCAGGCAAGCAGCATAAGTGTGAATGCCCACAGCCTGAGCGTGCTCCATTTTCCTCTAGGCTTGTCTTCTTCACAATGGCTTCGAGGTGCAACAGAAGAACTCCTCTGTCAGCCAGTCAGTCAACACACATTTACTAAATGCCTACTATGAGCCAGGCACTGTGCTAAGCAGCAGGGGTGCACAGAAAGTGGGTGCCTGCTCTTCAGGAGCTCAGTCTAATAGGGAAGATGACACACAAACAACTATGCACAAATGAGCTAGAGACAGGCCAAATTGGAAAAAACAGCAGGAAGGCACTAGAATTACGGGGGATTGGGAAAAGCTTCTTGTAGAAGGTGGGATTTTAGCTTAGACTTGAAGGAAAGCTCTGCTTAGGTTCTTGCTCTTGGAGGAATAAATCTATAGATATTGATACAACCTTTTCCCTTTACCAAAATGAACTCTCATGTTTAGCTACCCTTTTTCTATCTGACTGTGTTAAGAAACACAAAGCTGTAAGATGGGGATAACAATAGCACCTGCCTCCTTGGGCTACTGTGAGATTCAAATGAGATAACACATATGAAGCACTCTGCAAACCTACAAGTGCTATATAAATGCTTGTTTTTATTATTGTTCTTAGAAAGCTAACAACTTTAGAATGCTCATAATTAGTTAATGCATTTAAAGGGTCTTGTCACCAAAACAGGTTGCATAAAAACATTATTATTATAACAATAGGAGAGATAGCCACGGCCTTGTTGATAGAAAACTGATCTTGGAGCCAGGAAGTCCTGCCTCTGACATATCCTGGCTGTATGATCTGGGAAGGTCATTTAGACCTTTCAGCACTTAGGACAACTCTTTAAGACTCAGTTTCACAGACCAGACAAGGGAGAATCAGAACTCAAGAGTCCAGTGTTTGATAAAATGGAAAACACAGATTACTTATGAAAAAACCTCCCTATTTTGATAAAAACTGCAGGGAAAACTGGAAAGCAGTGTGGCAGAAATCAGGCTTAGACCAACATTGTACACCACATTCTACAATTTAGAAGACAGCATATACCTCTCATAGCTGTGGGTTGGCAATGTATTCTTAACCAAACAACGAATAGAGACATTTACAAAAAATAAAATAGATAAATTGATTATGTGAAATTGAAATGCTTCTGTACTGACAAAATTAATGCACCTAGGATAAGATGGGAAGCAGTTAAATGGGAAAAACAATTGTCACATCAAACTTTTCTCAGAAGGGTTTAGTTTCCAAGATATAGAAACAAATAACAGCTATATAAATATACACACACACATAAATATATAAATGTATGTGTATACACATACCCTGCCCCCTCCCCCCAAAGTCAATCCTCAATGCATAAAGGGTCAAAGGATATAAACAAACAGTTCTCAGAAGAACTGCGAACTATTAATAACCACATGAATGTTCCAAGTCACTAATAACTACAGAAATGAACATCAAAATAACTCCAAGGTTTTATCTCACATCCTACAAATTGGCAAGGATCACAAAATATGATAATAGAGTTAGAGAGGTTGTAGGAAGATAGGCACTCTGATGGATTATTGGTGCAGCTGTGAACTTTTTGGAAAGCAATTTGGAATTATCAAATAAAGTGATTAAAATGTCCATAAGCTTTGACCCAGAGATTCCATTATAAGGAGACCACCAATAAGAAGAAAGTGCTCATGGATACCAAAATATTTATAGCAGGACTTTTTTGTGATTACAAAGATCTGGAAACAAAGTAGATGCCCATTGATTGGGGAATGATATAAACAAATCGTGGCACATGAATGCAATGTAATATTACTGTGCTATAGAAATGATGGATGTGATGACTACAGAGAAGCATGGAAAGATCTAAATGAACTGATGCAGAGTGAAGTAAGCAGAGTCAAGAAAACAATATACACAATGACTATAACACGCACAATATGAATGTTACAAAATTATAAGGAACAAGCATGGCCTGAAAAAAGAGCAATGAGAAGACACTCCCACCAAAGTCCTTTGCAGAGATGGAAGGTCCATAAGTCTAACATACATATGTATGTTAGTTAGTGGACATATTTTCAGATTTTTTTAAATATGTGGATCACTTATGCTTATTTCTTCTTCTTTTTTTTAATCTTAAAAAAAAAAAAAACCCAAAACAACAATATATGTATAGTCTATATCAGATTGTGTGCTGTCTTGGGGAGGGAGGTGGACAAAAATTTAAAACTCAAAAGCTTACAGAATTGATTGTTGATAACTCAAAACAAATTAATAAAAAATTTTAAAAAATCAAGTATCATATGGGATGGGCTCTCTGGGAGGGGAAAACTTAGGTGGTGTTAAAAACAAGAGACATCAATAAAAACTTATTAAGGAAGAAGACTAAGTTCTAGAGAAGGTATAGACCTACACTAATAAGAGTTTCCTTTCTGAGAGTTTCCTATACTAATGAGATTACCAGGCTATTTCCTATCTCTCACTATTTTTATACAGAGCATTTTATCCTGAGGATCAGGGGAATAATGGCGAGTCAGTTAGACACACATTCTCACTGGCAGTCTCAGGTAACTTCAGTGTGGGGCAGTAGAAAACTGGCTGGATTTGGAGTTAGCAGATCTAGGTACAACTCCCAGCTCTCTCTCTCTCTCTCTCGCACCTGTGTGACCCTAGGCAGGTCATTTATTTTCTCTGGGTCTCAGTTTCCTCATCCGTAAGATGAGAGAGTTGGACAAAGTAGTCTGTAAAGCCCTTCGAGCTCTACAACTGTGGTCATAAGAGTGTAGTGTAGTGGATAAAGGGCTGGTTCTGGAGTCAGGATGCCTTAGTTTTTAAGTTGAACCTTTGACATATACTGGTTGTATAAGTCTATGGTGGAGAGAATTCCCTCATCTGAAGTGCCCTACCCTGATGAAATCACAGGTCTGGAACACCGCCCCCCCCCCCAAAAAAGGTTAATATTATTTCATTAGCTAGTGCTAGATATGAAGTAGCTTTAGTAATATTTAAATTTAGTAAAATTTAGAAAAATGCAGTTCTTTTGATTCTAGGAATAGTGCTGGATGATCATAACTAGGGTTTATTAATTTTATATGTTGAAAAATGTTTCTTATATCCCTGGAGGCACACCCTTGATTTTGTGTTCCATTAACACACGCATGAACTCTGAAATTCCTTTTTGATCATAATCTTTTATCTTTCCATCTCTCTCATGATTCACTTCTCCTTAACTTGTTCTCTGTCCTCACTATGACCTCCAAATCCTCCACCCCTCAGTTCTTTCCCAGGCGTGATGGCTACACTGTACTGCACTGGCTACACTCTTCCTCCTTTCCTATCCTGACCCCTTGGTGAACCAGTTCCACTTTCTTATCTCAAATTTCTTGCCCCCTTCTCCTATGGCACACATGGCCAAAGCCCAAACCTGCATTACTTCTCACCATTTTTTTCCTTGGTTCCTAATCATATGTAATACTGAATGGAGCTGAGGGAAGTTACAAAATGGGGCTCACTGGATCCACCACAAATTTATATGACCTAACCTCAACTGGTCTCTCATTGTACCAAGGTGATCCTTCTACTCCTCCCTAATTGATTCTCTTTCACTTCTCTCTCTCTCTCTTTTTTTTGGGGGGGCTAGGCAATGGGGTTAAGTGACTTGCTCAGGGTCACACAGCTAGTAAGTGTTATGTGTCTGAGACCGAATTTGAACTCAGGTCCTCCTGAATCCAGGGCTGGTGCTCTATCCACTGCGCCACCTAGCTGCCCCTCTCTTTCACTTTTCAAAGAAGCTGTTCCAAACCTTTCTCTCTTCTCTGGCCTCTAATGGTACCCCTTACACACTTGCTCTCTTTACTGAGGCCACGATCTCCTAATTTTCTCTTTTCTCAACCCTTGGACATAATTCCCCACTATTTCCTCTTCCACTCCAGCCTCTGATGGCATGGCTTTGACTTCTTGACACCTACCCTGTAATCCCATCTTTTCCAGTATTCCCAAGAAAAATACCTTTCTATTTTTGCTCCTTCCCTCCCTCCTTGCTAATCTTCAATCTCTCCCTGGCTACTGGCTCCTTCCCTGCTGCTGACAAACATATCAACAAATTCCAGTTCTTACTTCACTTGATCCTACTATATTTTCCCTCCTCCTTCCAGCTAAATTCCTTGAAAAAAAAAATCTATACTCAATGGCTCCACTTTTGTTCCACTCTGTTCTGCAATCTGGTTTCTGACCTCATTTTTCAGCCGAAACTACTGTCTTCAAAGTCAGTAACAAGCTCTTAATGGACAAATCCAATGGCCTTTTCTTAATCCTCATTCTTCTCTGCAGCCTTTAATACTATTGACCAAGCTCCCCTTGAGGATATTCTCTGGATTTTTGTGATCATGCTCTTGATTCTCCTCCTACCTGTCTGTTCCTTCTCAGTCTCCTTTGCTGGATCTTCTTCCATGTCCTGCTAACTATAGGTATCCCCTCTTTTTTCCCTATACTATGTCACTTGGTGATCTTATTAGCTCCTATGTAGCTGACTGCCAGATCTCTATAGATCTATCCTATCCCTTAGCTTTCCCCCGAGCTCCCGTCTTCTATCACTAACTGTCTAATAGACATTTTGAAATGACTATTCCCTAGGTATCCCAAACTCAACATGTCTAAAACAGAACTTTTCATCTTTCCCCCCAATCCTACCCCTCTTTCTACGCTTACTACTATCAAGGATTCCACTATACTCAGGTTGGCAGCCATGGCATCACTTGCTCAGCCCATATATCCAGTCAGTTTCCCAATCTTGTCATTTCTACCTTTTCTCACATCTCATATACTTATGATTCACAGACATGTAATTTCCCTTTACTCACACAGCTGCCACTTGTGTTCAGATCCTCTTCATCTCTGCTCTGGATTATTGCATTAGCTTTCTAATTGGTCTCCCCATCTCAAGTCTTCCTCCACTTCAACCATTAAAGCACTTTCCTAAGCTGTAGGTCTGCCCACGTTAGCGTATAGCAGAGATGAGATATGAACTCAGACCCTCATGATTGTGAGGACAACTCTATTTACTAAGGCATGACTGCCTTTCAAATTCTCTCAATGAGCAAATGGTTAAAAAGAGGAGGAAAACCTTATGCTCTCTAAGTTGGCACACCTCTGCCTGTTCACCTATAGCAGCCAAGTGGTACAGTGGGTCGATAAGTCTGAGGACCTAAGCTCAATTTCCACCTGCGTCACCTATGTGACCACAGGCAAGTCACTGGGGTTTCCTCAGCTAGGGGGCACAGTGGAGAGAACACAAGTCCTGCTGTCAAGAAGACTCATCTTCCTGAGTTCAAATCTTGCCCCAGACACTTACTAGCTGTGTGACCCTAGGCAAGTCACTTAGCCCTGTTTGCCTCGGTTTCCTCATCTATAAAATGAGCTGGAGAAGGAAATGGCACACCACTCCAGTATCTTTGCCAAGAAAACTTCAAGTGGGGTCATGAAGAGTCAGACACGACTGAACAACAATAAAATGGGGATTGGACGCTAGATCTGTGAGCCTGTGGCCAGGCGACATCTAAGCCCTAGAGGCACACAGTAGGCATGTACTACCTACGATTACCTTCTAAGTTCATGATAAATGCTTTATCCTAATTATTTCACAATCAATTTCAAATCCAGTCTTGTACACTTACTATCTGTCTGACCTTGGATAAATCACTTAACCACTATCTGCCTCAGTTTCCCCATATAGAAAAATGGGGATAATAATAGCACCTACTTCCCAGGGTTGCTGTGCGGATGAAACGAGATGTTTGTAAAGGACTCTGCAAACCTTGAAGCACTAAATAAATATCGGCGATTACCATTAAGTTACCTGCAGTGAGTCTGAGAATGCATCATCCTTGTTTTCAATTGGTCTGAACAGCTCCTTCTTCTTTTCCCGGTCTCTCATGTCAGGACTAGCTGCACTAATGAGCATCTTCAGGTTAGCTGTAGGGGTCCAGGGCTCTGCCTGAGGCCGGTCAGCAAACTTAACTGGTGTAATTGGATTTATTTCGGGTGTGTAGGTTTTTTGCTTCGATAAATCAATCGGTTCATTTTTCATTGGCGTCTTTGGGGCCATCCTGGATCGATCAACAAATATATTTTCCTATTAAAGAGAGAGATTGTTTAGTGACGATAGGCCAAGTGAGGAGAATGGCTAACCAGCTGTGGTTATAAACAGGTTACTTAAGATGTCCATCATTAACACGGACATGAAAATAAAAACCGGCCCACAGGCCAAACAAATTGAACAAAAATTAGTGAGAGGGGTTAATGGGAGTTAAACATTGGGTCAGGTGAGAAATTCTGCCCAACCAGTTGCTTCTCCTAATTCTTATTTAGTTTGATTTTCATGGGATTTCCACGTGTGAGGGAACCCCTCAGTGTATTTGCTACCGATAGATGCTTATAATAGGGCGGGAGGTAGAAGGGCATGGAGACAGTCAGAGTCAGTGTGGGAGGAGTCAATAAAATTTCCATGGGTCACGTGCTTTTTTTTTTTTTAAATGTTATTTGTTGGTGTGGGGGGAAGCTCTGAGGTGCATGCCTTTGTATTCCAAGTATGTAGTAGTGCAAATGGAGCCCCTGTTGGTTGCACAGAACTGAACCCAAGGACACACCAAATTTCAAGTCTTTTGACATGTCAGCTCATGTTAACTCTTCAGAAAGTTGTTTAGAAAGGAAAAAAAAAAGGCCTATGGGCCTTGATTAACAAAGAACATTTCAAACACTGGCTTTATCCTGATTTGCATTCTATTATCTGTGCATATATATCTCATTTACTTTCCCATCAGACAGTAAACTGCTGGAGGACCATGTCTTTGCATAATAATGCGTAACAGGTTTATAAATTTGGGGCTAGAGGTATCTGAGAAGTCAGAGCACTAGGGAGCAGACTTTGGACTTAGGAATGAAGAAGATGAGTTCAAATCCTGCCTCTGATACCTACTAGCTATGTAAACCTGGGCAAGTCATTTAATTGTCAGTGCTTCAGTTTCCTTATCTGTAAAATGGAGATAATAATAGACCCTTTCAAATGAGATAACATGTAAAGTGCTTTGCAAACATTAAAATGCTATATAAGAGCTAGTTATTACTATTCTTATAATCTGGTCCAATCCTTTCATTTTATAGAAGAGGAAAATGAGTAAGTAAATTATCCAAGGGTACAGAAGTCATAAATGGCAGAGTCAGGATTTGAACCCAGAACTGGAGCAACCATAGCAATTAAAAAAAACCAAACATTAACAAGATAATATATCTTATTATATTATATTAATAAGAACACCATTTGAAGGTGCAGAAGATTATCTGTTTGGAGAACCTGGGGCTTCATCCTGCTCCAGACAGTAGTCATTGTTAGAGATGTGCCTCTTACCATCCCTCCAGACCCAAACAACAACAGAAGGGTAGAGAACTGAAGGTGGGAATTTCTCCTATGGCAGCAGAAGTCATCATAGGACCAGGAACCACGGCATGGTATTATCTCTTTATAAATGAGTCTCTGCCAACGTGCTAACCCAATAAAATCAAACAGAAATGGATCTAGTAGGTAATTCCCAAATATTCTGTTGTTGTAAAATGAGCTGGAGAAGGAAATAGGAAACTACTCCAGCATCTTTGCCAAGAAAATCCCAAATGGGGTCACTGAGTTGGAAACGACTGAAATGAGACAACACTAGGCAATCCCCAAATATTAAGATCACGCATTTAAAGCTAGGAGGGAACTTCATCCCCTTGTTGTTTGACATATGAGGAAACCGAGGCCCAAACAAGTTAAGTGACCTGCCCAAGGTCACAAAGATGGCGGAGATCTGAATCTAGGTCCTGGGACTCCAAATTCAGTATTCTTCCCATTGGTCCATGCTGCCTCCCAAGTCAGTATCAGTGATGCTATACAGTGGGGACAAGATCACAAGACCTCCAAATATCATAAAGATGAGGGGAAAGAGTAGAAATGTCAAACCGTTTCTGAAGCTGTACAACCTGTTCTCCCTGAAATGAACTCATCGTAGGTGAAAAATTGAGAAGATGCCGGGTATATCTTTATCACGCCCCAAACAAAGGTATTTAAGGAGAACAGAGTCCAGCCTTTTCTTTTTTCTTCTGAGACATCATCAGAACAAAGTCATAGCTAGCTGCCTTTGCTGTTTTGGGGGAGGCTGGCAAGCCATCTCTTCAGCTGATGACAAATGTTATTTGGACTGGAGACTGCTAACCCCTGTTACTGTCCATCTCCTTATGCCTAGACATAATAGTTAGAGTAATGAGAATAAAACTCAATGCTTATATGGAGCTTGGTGGCTAACAAATTGTTTTGCCATAACCTTATCTTTCTTTATCCAAGACATATTGATATTCCCATTATGTAGAGGAGGAAACAGAGGCTTAAAGGTTAAGTGATGTGTCCAAATTAAGAAGAACTAGAATTCCAATACAAACCTTCCATCCAAGGCCACTGCTCTTTCCACTACATTACCATACTTTTTTTTTGAACAAAAGTTTATCTAGAATGGTCCTGAAAAATGGAGAAGATTGAAGTCCTCTTATGTCTATCCCAAATTGTTCTTGTTTACATCTATTTCTTCATTATCACCACTAATGTCCTTGATACCGTCAAGTGATTCAACAGCAGAAATAGACATTTTCCCCCAGTGGAAGTAACACTCAAAAGGATGCATTACCATCTGTTTTGCTACTGTACCCTAAGGTCTTTCCAGACAGCTTACGGTTGAAACCTCTTATGTTTTGTTACCTATTATTATAGGGGTTCTTTATCTTTTTATGTCATGGGTCCCTTTGGCAGTCTGGTAAAGCCTATAGACCCCTTTTCAGAATGATGCTTTGTTGCCCATGTTAAACAATGGAAAGAAATGCTAAATTTTAGTTACAGATTAGTGAAAATAAAGATGAATTTTTTTTCTAACAGACTCCTTGAAATCTATCAAGGGGGCCCTGAATCTCAGGTTAAGAATCCCTTCCCTATTAGATATGAGCAGGGATCATCTTCCTTTTTTTTTTTTTCCTACCTGTAATCCCCAGTGCTTAGCATATTGCTTTGCAGACCGTGACTAAAAATTATTTTTTTCATTTATTCCTTGTTTTTTTTTTAAAGCCCAGAACCATAGTATTAGGAGTGGGAACTTTGCAGGAAGAAACTTCTTCTTCTCCTGTTATAGATAGATATTTGTTCTGCATCTTTGGAGTTGTTAAGAGTCACCTGGAGTACTGAGAGGTCAAGGGACTTGCCATACAGTCTTTATGTATCAGAGAATTTGAATCCAGGTCTTCCTCACTTTATATTGACTCTCTATCCCCTACTCCATACTGTTTCTTTTACCTAACTTTAAACAGACATATAATACCTGATTATCTTCTCTCTTCATGATATCCTGGCTTATAGCTAATTATTAACTCATCCTTTAATACTTTCTTCTTGAGGTTGAATAATCCCAACTCATGAATTCTATTTTCTAGCATTTTCACAGCACCTTTTTGGGTCCTTCTCTTTTGGTTCCATTATACTGTGACTTCCTCTAGGGCAGGGGCTGTCTTTGGCCTCTTTTTGTAACCCCATTGCTTAGCATAGTGCCTGGCATATAGTAGGCACTTAACAAAATGCTTATTGACTGACTGGTTAAAATATGCAAGCTCAATCTGACATTGCACTGGTAAGGAGAGATCTTTATCAAGACTGAATATAGTGAGAAATGCCTTTTTCTAATCATTTGACAAAAAAAAGTTACTGAGCAAGAAAGCAAGCAAGCAAAACTCTTGAGTACTGATTTATAGTCTCAGGCTTTACCGAGGAAATCAACAGATCCTTTCCAGTTTTTAGAAACTTATCTTCCCGCAATTCAATTGAACAAACATTTATTGAGTGTCTATTATGGGCCTTGCCCAGAAGTGGGATACAAAGACTGAAACCTAAATGATCTCTGACCTTGAAGAGTTTACTTATTTTGGTGGGGGCAGGGGTGGGTAGAACAACAATTACAAAGTTAAGTAGATAGAAAAATATATACAAAGTAATTTGGGGGGGGGGCAGGAAACGATTCTAGGCAAGAGAGCTTTGGAGGACAATGACAAAGGGTAAGGATGTGAAATATTATGTATGGGGGCTGTAATTGACCAGTTTGGTTGAATGTAGAGTTTGTGAATGAATCAATTTGGAAAAATAGGTTGGACTCAAGATTGGGCCCAGCCTGGAGTCAGAAGAGTTCAAAATCCCACCTCAGATAACTAGCTTTGTGAACGTAGGCAACTCACTTAACCTGTCTGCCTCAGTTCCCTCATCTGTAAAACAGGGATATTATTAGCACCTACTTCCCAGGGTGGGTTGTGAGGATTAATGAGACAATAACCATAAAGTGCTTAGCGCTTCGGAGGCACTTAACAAATGGTTGTTTCATTCCTTCCAAAACAATGAAATTTATATTTTAACCTGGAGGCGCCTGAGAGCCATTGAAGTGTTTTGGGCAGATAGCGTGGGCATGGTCAGACCAGTGCTTTAGGAATATAATTTGGCTGCTATGTAAAGACGGATTGGAGAGAGGAGACGCTTTAGCATCAACTTATTTAGATATCCTTAAAGACTTTGAACTCATGTATTTTCTTTTATTTCATTTCTGTCTGCATACAGTTTAGGTAATAAAAAAAATGTTCCCTTAAGGAATACAATTTTGGGATATTTTCCTTCCTTGAGAAAAGAGTGTGCCCTTAAAAACAATGGACTTGGTTTAGTGCCAGCTTTGTGGTGTGACTGAGGTGAGTCATCCCTTTTCTAAGCCTGTTTCTTATCTCTAAAATGGACAGAATATTTGCCCTCTTTCCCAGGGATGTTTAGAAGAGAAAATGAGATAATAAATGTGAAAGTACACAGTCAACTCTAAGCTTTATGTAAACATATCGTATTCTAATCATCCTCCTTCCTTACAAAAACTAGTCAAGGGGTATGAAGAAATAACATGCAAAAGAATTAAATTTATCATCTTATAAACTTCAAAATAATGGCAGAATATCATGTGCTTTTCTTAAAAAACCCTACTTATAAGATCAATAGCTGAAAAGGACCTTAACAAGAAATCTAGTTTAATACCCTCATTTTACAAACAAGAAAACTGAGACTTTGGAATGGAAAGCTATTTTGTCCACTATGACCCAGGTAATAAATGCCAAGAACCAATATTGGAACTCAGGTCCACCTGGTCCAAATCTAGTGGGCTTTCCATGAGCACAGATTTTGAGCTGGAAGAGACCTTAGAAGTCAGTTTAGTCCAATTTCCTCATTTTACAGATGAAGAAACTGAGACTCAGGTTAAGTGACTGCCCCATAGACACAGAGTGAGGAAGTATTGGAAGAAGGACGGAACCCAAGTTTTCCTGAGTCCAAGCCCAGCACTCTATCCCTATGCTACACCTCTCTCACCAATGGGCACCACACCTGCCAACACATTGCTACTGGAGGATAAAGTGCTTATTAGCCAATTGCTCCTTAAAAACCTATTAAGTCAGTTTCATTATTATTGCTAAATCTAAATATAAGGTCAAATAAGCCATGAGAAGCTAAGTGACTTAACCACAATTAAAGAAATGGCTAAGTCTAGATTAAAATTCAGTTTTTAAAATTTGACTTAGCACCAAAACGGGTTAGTTTAGATGACTTCTAAGCTAACTCTTACTATAAAAATCCTATGAACTAGGACTATTTGCTTGCTTCTGCCTAAAATGCACAGCAATTCATCAACTAACAAGGTATAATTCATGGCTTATAGCATCTCTGGTTGTTCAGAGGCAGTGGATAGAGCACCGGACCTGGTGTCGAGAAGACCCGAGGAGTAAGAATCCAACCTCAGTTACTTACTAGCTGTATGACCCTGGGCAAGTCATTTAAGCCTGCCTCAGTTTCCTTATCTGTAAAATGAGTATGATAAATGCATCCACCTCCTAAGGTTGTTGCAAAGATCCAATAAGATGCTATTTGTAAAGTGTTCTGCAAAACTTACAATGCTTTATAAATGCTAGCTATTAGTGTAGTTACTAGCCAGAGGACAGTGCTATTGAGACCAAGGTCTTGGATGCTATTACCACAAGGGCCAATTAGCTTTATCTTGCTTCATGGATACACAGAGCATCGTTAAGCCCAGCCGGTTACTGCATAATAAAAGCAGTAATAGCTCATGTTTATATATTGATTTAAAGTTTGCAAAGCACTTTATATATCTCAGTTAATCCTTACAACAACCCTGTGAGGTTAATATTACCCCATTTTTACAGCCAAGGAAATCGAGGCTCTGAAAAATTAAGTTACTTATTCAAGGTAACACAGCTAGTGCCTGAAGTGATATTTGAACCTGGGTCTTCCAGATTATACTTTATCCACCATCACACCTCTTGGTATAGGATATAGCTGGCTCAGTGCAAATCTATCATCACAACTGTAAGAATTCAAGTTGCCTGCTAGAGTCCATTAACTTGTATTCTTCTGTTGACAGTACCAGTATCACTATGGGTAGAATGGAAAATGTCTGTTTGAGACGTGCTTGTTGATTGTTATAAGAACAGCTTACATTTCAAATATCCAAACACCAATGAGATGTAACTTAGCTGGTAGTAACTGAAATAGCATTCCAGTATGATACAATACAAGTTATCTAAGTTCAGATTTCACCTTTGATGATTATTACTTGTGTGACCTTGGGTATGACACTTAACCTAATGGAGCCTCAGTTTCCCCATCTACAAAGGGAAGGGGCTGGACTAGACCTTAGCTTAGCTCCCTAATTAGAAATCCAGTGACTTGTATTTGCTGCTCAAATAAGCCTAGCTTAGTGGGTACATATTCCTAAATATTCAATGATGGTGGAGAAAAGTTTATCTACAGTGGTTGGCAGGTTTTGCTTTAAAAAATGACTCTAATTGCAACTTTTTGGAGAATACTGACATTGTATTCATAGCAATATTGGATATTGAAAGCACGTGGGTTTCCTCATTTGCCAAGAATTTACTAACACCGACCTTCAAGTGAGGTATAGTTGAAGGAAAAACACTAAAGCCAAGCTGGATTTACTTGAAACACAAGTCACACCATATGATTATAGACAGAGCTAGAAGGGTATCTTACAGGTCGGATCTTGTACAACATCCTCATTTTTACAGACCTGGAAACCCAGGTTTCAGAAAAGTTAAGTGACTTGTCCAAGGTCACCAAGGAGTGAGTTAAGTGGCCCAGCCTGGATTTGCTGACCACAGTGGTATTAAAGGCGCTGGTTATGAATCTTAAAATATTTCTGCACTTACCTTTTGTGCATTTTCCCCATCTTCAATCACAAATTCTAGCCTGGGCTGCCTGGGGCTGATCAGGTCTTGTAGTGTTAAACAGTTGACCTCCATCTGTAAGTTGCAATTACGCAAGAAAAAGAAATTTTAGAATTTGGGAAAATAATCGTGTTCTTTTGCAAGCATTCCTCCCTGCCGATCACCTTCCCTCCTCCTCCATCTCAGGTTCGCCCGTGCAAACGTCTAAAGAGCGCTCAAATACCTCAGAAAACGCGCGAGGGAAACGAACCCGGGGCAACTCGAATACAAGGAGGAAAAAGCAGCGGTAGACCCGGGGCAGGGGGAGGGGGGCAAATCTGTCAGGGAGCCCCAGGGTCTTCCCGGTCAGTTAATTTTGGCGCAAAGTACTGCTGAGGGGCACAGAACTTTCGGGCACCGCGGGTGCCTTCGGCTACGAGCCCGGTGCCTTCCGGGGCTTCTGGAGGACAGCCCCCCAAGGATGAGGTCTCTAAGGGGAGCCCCCACTCCCAAAATGCGGGGAGCGCGGGAGCAGCCGTGACTGGGGCTCGGTCGGGGCACCTCAGCCCCCCGGCCGCGGTCTCTTCCCCTCCACGGGGGGCGCCCTCCGAGCCCCCCGCCAAGCCCCGGGGCGCCGCTTACCGCCCTCCTTCCCAAGGAGGCTCCCTCCTTCCCTCCGCAGGAAGCGGGGCTGCTCAGCGGAGGCGCATCGACCTTGACCACGGGCGCAGGAGGGCGAGCGCGGCGCCCCCACAGCGAGGCGAGCCCTGCCCTGCCCGGCCAAGCCCCCGTGCCCGCACCAAGCGCCGATCCCGACTGCGGCGCCGAGCTGCCCCGGCCCCGCTAAAGCGCTGGGTTCTGGCGCCTTGAGACGGAATGCGAGGCTCCAGCCAATGGGCGGCGACCGGAGGGGGAGCCCCGCGGGAGAGCCCGCCAATCCCGAGAGCCCGGAGTGTTGGCGCTCCGCTCGGCGCGTCCCGGCTCCGGACCCGCCCAATTGTTGCCGATTCGCTCCCCTCCCCCTTCCGGGTACCTGCGAGACGTCAGGCGGCGGGAGGGGGCGGGGCCGCGCGCCGAGGCAATTTCTGCCCGGGCCGGGCGGGGCCACCGCGGGAAGCGCCCCAGGGGTGTGGGGAGGGGGCGAGGAGGGGAGGGGGAGCGGAGGGAGAGCGCTTCTTTTGTCATGCATAAAAGGCGGCTCCGGGGCCAGCCAATTAACGGGCAGCTGAGCAGATGGAGCCGCGAAAAACGATCCCCCAGTCCCCGGGATGCTGAAGGCGGGTCTCCTCCCTGCAAACAACCACCTGCTTGGAAAGCCGAGGCGCCCGGGCTTGTTCGGGCACGATCCGAGCCCGGCTCCAGGAGGCACGAGCCCCAGTTGCCACTTTGGGCTGGTAGCAGATGGCGAGGCAGTTAGGGGGATAAAGGAGACCCACGGGGAAGCTGGGGGGTGGGAGGGGGTGGGGTTCGTGCTGCACCGCACTCAACCGCGGGAAATGTTGATTAGCGTGGCTCTAATTTCGGCACTTGTTAACGCCGCGCCCCAGCCCCCTGTACCTGTGAAACAAGTTTTCAGGGAACTTGAATGGTGGGCCACAATTCAGAAAAATAGACATCCATGGTATTATCTCTGTTAGATATTCTCAGTCCCCAAATCCGCATTTATCTTTCAAAACATGAACACTGGGAGTCATTTTATTTTATTTCTTCCTGACCCTTGCTGAGAAGCGGGGACATCTTGGGGCAAACGACTGATCTGTTTCATGAGAAAGTTTGGGGGCACAGAGCCTGGCTGAATAGAAGAGGGTTCTTGACTTGGTGCTGTATTTCCTCCGTAGATACTGTTAGGTTAATGAAATCCAAAGGAAAAGAAAGCTTGGAAAGGATACAAACTTTGTAACCTATTTAGAAAGTAAACAGTCAATTAAGTATTAATTAAGGTTCTACTATGTAGCAGGAACTGTGAGTGTTGGAGAAAAAAATCCATACCCTCAAAGGGCTTACATTATATTGGGAAACAACATATGCACAGATCGGGACATATAAAAGACACATAAAGTAAATAAAAGGTGGATGGGGGAATCTTCCACCTCCCTAACCCCAAACCAACCTTGAAGCCAAATGCCAATAGTGCTAAGGTGCCAACAGGGGCAGGCCTCCTTCACAGAGGACTTTCTCTTTCATTTTCTATCCTCTTTCCCAATTTGTACCAATGGCAGGACATCATCTGTCTGTATGCTTAGCCTCCTTCCCTCTCCCCATCCCTCTCTACTGCTCCATCGGAGTCCTTGGCCCAGTGGTGTCAAATTTAAGAAGAAACTGATCCCTGTGGGTAGCATGTTGGCTTAGAAAAATACAAATTAACATTATCTATATTGTATTATATTTTTATTTATTTTGTTATACATTTCTTAATCACATTTTAATTTGGTTCAGGATTGCTCCATGAGTGTGAACCCTCCTATATATGTTTTCTCCCCTAATCAGAAAATGAACTTCAGAGCAGGACCTGTCTTGCTGTTTTATTTGTATCCCCAGCCCTCAGCACAGTACTTGGTATTTATTAAATGATTAATAAATTTGTTTCTACTCCATTCCAGTGATCAGGAAAATCTTTATATAGGAAGGATATATCACTTTTGTCGAGCTTCAAAAGAAGCTAGAGATGCAAAGATGCAGAAGTGTGAAGAGTGTTCATTCTATGCATGGGGGGCAGAGGGTGGACAGACAGCACTGACTGAGTCTGGGATATGGAATGTCCCAGTGTGAAGAATAGCAAGAAGGTAGAAAAGCAATGATATGTCTGGAAAAGTAGCCAAGCCAGATTGTGAAGGGCCTAATATGGAGTTTCCATTTGATCCTAACAGTAATTAATAGGGAAGCGTTGGAAATTCTTGAGTGGTGGAGTGATGTTGTCAGACTGGTGTTTTAGGAATATTATTTTGAGGAAGACATGGAGAGAGGAGAAACTCAAGGCAGAGGGAGCTGTTAGGAAGATGTCATGGGAGAGGTGACAAGGGCCTTGTAGGGTGATTTTGGTGTGCATTAAGGGAAGGGGACTGATGCAATAAATATTGTGGAAGTGGAATAGACAATATGACGATACAATATGGGAGATGGTGAGGGAGAGTAGACTTGAAAATGAGAGGTGATGAACCTGGGTGACTGGAAAGCTGCAGCCCATAATAGAAAAAGACAAGCTCAGAAGAGGGATGGGTTTTGGGGAGGGGGGTAAAGAAAACGAGTTCTGTATTGCACATGTTGAGTTTGAGATGCCTATCTAGCAGGAATGGTCTAAGATACTTGGTGATACAGGCCTGGGCCCCAAAGAGACAGAGTAGGGCTGGATATATAAATTTGAAAGGTGTCTGCATAGAGGTGATAGTTAAATCCATAGAAGCTGATGAGGTTTCCAGGAGGGCGCCTATACAGAGAAAAGAATTGTCTCACACATAACTCCAAGTTTTTGAGTTCTTAGGTTTGAGAGCTTGGTGATTGGGCCTTCTAGAGAAAGAAGTCTCTTGGCTTCAGGGTCATTTCTCTGTCCAGTATGCTGCATTGCCTAATTGGATCATAGGATTATAGATTTAGAACTGAAAGGGACTTTGGAAACCATGAAGTATAACTGAGTCAAACAGAGGTTGAAAGACCTGCCTAGAGCCACTCGCTATTACGTGAGGTAGGATTTGAACTCAGATTTTCCTGACTCCAGGTCTGGTACTCTTTCCACTGTGCCAACTAGCTGCCTCAATTAGTTCAAAACAAAAGCACTTAATGAAATCACATAATAAGAATATTAGAATTAAAATATTTTTTCCTATAAGGCTATGGCATACTATCCCATAAATATATGTATGCTATCAGTGGAAACTCCAGAATGGACATATGTAGGGAACATTCATAAGGAGGAACACTAATAGAGAAAACATGTGGCCAGGGAACATGTTATGAAGGAGTGTGATGTAGCAAACATGCAGCTGGGGTACACATATGATGGGACATATGAAAGGAACATGTGGTTAGAGTATATGTATGGAACCAAAAGTATGCTGGTATGTGATTAACAACTAGCTCTCTAAAAAATGTAACCATAACACACATAATTTTTATCTGCATTATTAATATTTTTGCTACCAGCTTCTTAAGTCTAAAAATCAACAAAACAATATATCAAACCCTGATTTAATATTTGCCAATTTCTGACGTATGGATGCTCACACTAAAACTCTAGTAATCGGTTCTCCTGAATTGATATGAACTGGCTCTAGCACATCCCTGGAAGAAGTATATACATGGAGGATGCTTCTGATGCTTCGGGGCCATTGGCAGTGTCTGAACACGAATGTCTCATTCTGTACCTATAAAGTCCATCCTTCTCTGTCGGTAGATGGGAAACACGATTCACCATCCCTCTTGTGAAGTCATGATTGCTCATAGCATTGATCAGAGTTCTTAAATCTTTCAAAATTGTTTTCCTTTGCAATGCTGTAGTCATCATATAACTTGCTTTCCTGATTCTGCTTATTATACTCTGTGTTAGTTCATACAAGTTTCTCCAGGTTTTTCTGACTCTGTCCCTTTAGTCATTTCTTATAGTACAATGATATTTCATTACATCCATATACCATAATTTAGTCAACCATTTCCTATTTGAAGGGCTCCTATTCTCTTTCCAGTTCTTTGCTAATTTAAAAGTTTTAGACCTTTTTAGAACCCTTCTAGAGCCTTGTTGGGGTGTTCCTGGGGAGAGCTGGGTTCCTCTATACAGGAGTATTTTGGAGATCTTGCCCCCACCAAACCCCAGCCTCAGATGATTCTCACTATTCACTGTCTTTGATCCTACTCACATGCTGCCAAACAAAGCTGGAGAAAAGTCGGAAAACCATGCTGACTGGGGCCACCATAAATTGATGTTACTTAATCTGATCTGGGCCCTCACTGCAGCAAGGCAACATTTTATATCTCCCTAATCAATTTACTATCCTATTCAAATGCTTTCATTCCTCCTCAAATCTCCCCCAGCTTCCCTTATCTCTACCCTTCCAGTTAAGGACTTTGCCTCATATTTATTTTTTAATTAATTAGTTTATTTATTTTTTAGTTTTCAACATTCATTTCCACAAGATTTTGAGTCCCAAATTTTCTCCCCATCTCACCCCTTCTCTCACCCCAAGAAGGTGAGCATTCTGAATACCTCTTCCCCAATCTGTCCTCCCCTCTATCACCACCCCCCACTTCTCTTATCATCTTCCCCTCCTATTTTCCTTTAGGGCAGATAGATTTCTATACTCCATTGCCTGTATATCTTATTTCCCAGTAGCATGTAAAAGCAATTTTTAACATTTGTTTTTAAAGCTTTGGGTTCCAAATTTTCTCCCTTCCTCCCTCCCTCCCTACCCACCCTCATTGAGATGGTAAGCAATTCAATATAGGTTATACATGTGTAGTCATACTTTGTCTCATATTTCAGTGAAAAAAATGAGGTTTTTCAAAGAGAGCTCCCTCTTCCACACTTCTCCTAAGACAGATCATTCCCCTCTACACAGTTAACTCTCCGGTGACACCACCCCCTTTGCTATTCCTCCCACAAGACACTCCATCTCCTGACTCCAGCTATTTTCACTGGCTGTCCCCTCATGTCTAGAACCTTCTCCCTCCTCATTTCCATCTTCCCTAGATTCTTTCAAGTCTCAGCTAAAGTCCCATCTTCTTTAAGAATCTTTTCA